CTCAGTGTTTGGGATACCTTCAGATGTTGGAGCAGATGGCTGCAGAATTAACCATTTCAGCTGTACCTCAGTTGTTGAGCTCAGTCTTGAGGGTAGAAATACAGGTGTTGTACAACTTAAAAGTAGATTGTCAAGTGTTTAAGCAGTTTGAAGATTATCAATTTTTCTCCAGTTTTGTTTTGACTTTTTTATTGTTTTGTCAGTAAAAGGACACTTGTATTAAATCTCTTTGTAAAACATGTTCTTGCCAGCAGTATATAATGAATGTTCTGCTTTATTAGTTGAAGTCTATCCCATAATTCTGTTATCAGGAATTACTGAAATATTTGACAGATACCAAGAGTGAACCTCAGCATTCCAGTTAAAAGGACTTTGCAGAAAATAAACTTTATTAGGCATGCAGTATTTATTTATACAAGTGAGTGCTGTGCTGCTGTAAGCTAAACCACAGGGTAGCATTTCACTGAACTCACCAAATACATTCAAACAATGGTATATTTCAAATTAGGGTGCGTTATGATACCAGACTTAATCATTAAGTACCATCAAGGAACAGATGGCAAGGGAGGACACAACTGGTTTGCAGTCTGCATAGATTTAAGCATGAGGCCATTAAGCTATCACATTCCCATTTCTGATAGATTTTGGTCAATGAAAAATTAAAGACACATAATCCCTGATTATATGAAGTCTCAATCTGTGATTCATGACACTGGTAGTATTTCAAAATCACTGAAGTTCTCTCTGTAATCAGGAGTTTTTAAACTAATGCGTTATTGGGAGAGATGCTCCTGTCTGGTTTTATTGCTATTGAAATTAATGTATCTTGTCATAAGTAGGTTGCTCTTAAATGTAAAATTGCTTAAGGGTATCTTTTACTGCTCTGCTTCCTATCGACTTCTAGACAGATTTGCCCTATTTTGCTGGGCTGTTTGCCACTGAAGCAGCTCAGTATCCCCACCTCATAAAAGGAGCAGTTCAGAGCATGGATGGCCTTAAAAATGTTTATAGCAGCCATCAGAATCTTAGGGTTTTAAAAAGATGCTTTTTAAAGCTGTGTTTTAAATTGGTTCTAAATAGGCCTTTTTAGCTTCAAAATTATTTAATTTGCATCCTGTATTTCCACTAGTTTATTTGAGTGTCATTAAACCTAATGTATTCTAATAAACAGAATTGTTTTGCGTTAATAAAGATATTATCATTATAAACATTTTACTGGTCATAAAAATTCAACAGTTCAACATATGTGTACAAGTACTTCATTAAAATCTTTAATAAATTAGTTTTCAAGAACTGTAAATGAGTTTAAAGATGATCTCAGAAGGTTTTGACAGTTCATGTTTAGAATTTTCTCTTTCTGGATGAGAAATAGTTACACATCAGACTTCATGCTTAGTAAAAAGTATTAGTATGCCATGACTTGGACCAGCCTGAAAAATACAGTTCTACAAAAAACATAAAATGGAAATGTTATAGCCAGCATCCTGCTATATTATTTCCTCTTTGAGAGAGACAAATTAAGACATCAATAAGATGATGAACTGTACTGACTAAATAAATGTTTAAAATGCTGTTTAGTGGATTAAGGAGACTGCTGAACGTTCAGGTTGGAGTCCTTGAGAAAGTGAGAGCTGGTTATCAGTATTGGTAGTGAAGGTGGGTTTAGTTATTTTTTTAAATAAGGAATCTCCTGTTCAAGGACCTACTCATGGTCCTTTCATAGCAGTGGTGTGAGGAGGGATCTGTCAGGTCTTTGCTTGGCTGTTCCATACACAAACCTGACAGTTCTAACACAATCTGAAAGGTAGAAATAAATCAGTGGCTGAAGATACGGGTGCTGTGCTAAACACCAGCACAGAGGCTGCTTGGTGGAAGAATCCCTCAGTTTTCAACATTGACTTTTCAGCACAGGGGTCATTTTAGTAGGTAGCCTATAAACAGTCTGTGTTTGTAATCATTTAATGACATGATGTGGTTAGAAAGATCTCAATTACTGTAGCACAGTGAAGGTGAAATCCTGTTTGCCCTGGAAGGTGCAGAGAGCAGAATTTCACTCTGGGAAGCATTGGAAATAAATTCCTGTCCAAGCCACTCATCCTAGTCATGGCTAGCATGTATTAATTGAGAATGTGAAAGACAGCTGACCTCCCATGGTTGAAGAATAATGAGCCAAGAGGACATTCATTACCAAAAAAACAGAAAAAGGAATCTGCTACCAATAGTGAGTTATTGAGGGTGCATGTTTAATTAAATTAAAAATGACTGGTAGAGATTAGTAGTGTTAGTAATGATATCTCACTAGCTTGCTTTTATTGAACCTTAAAAACAGTGAGTTAAACTTCTTGTTACCTCTACATACCTTTGAAGTTCTGCTGAAAAATGTTGAGGGAACTTGGAGTTTGATGTTTCTGTTGGACCCTTGGCCAAAATCTTTTTGGAAAAGTTTAAAATTACTAAAATAAGTGTTTTCTGTGCACCAGGTTGTCCCAAGGCTGATACTCTGATTTTAATTGTTGATCGTCTGCACTAGCAGAGCATCTTGAGACTGGACAGTGGAATTTTTCCAAGCGGTAAAAACACACTTCCACAGCACATCTGTGGCCCAAGTTTTCCCAGCAAAAAATCCCAATCTCAGTAAACTGCTTCCTGCAATTTAAGCCAACAACAGAAAGCCAAAATAAAAGAAAACCCCAACTTTGTTTCAAGCTACAGGCATGAATCATTTTGGCACTAAGCAGTTCAGCTTGTCATAGAGGGAGGTGAGGCTGGTTGTTAAAGCACCCCAGCCTTTCCTGCTGGCTGGGCTGATCCCCTGGTGTCATGAAGATCCAGTGCTATGCAAATGTTAAAGTTTTGTTCATCCAGGATCAATCTCAATATCCTAATACAGCTTTAGAAATGAGAAAATGGAAAGCCTGAGCTTTTATGACGTTTGTGTTTTGAGTTCTTGTGGTTGCACACTAATTTTGGTCTTGATGCTAAAATAAGAGCTGGCACAATATCCAGGAAACCCCTGTTTTGAGAGCTCTAAAGGGAGAGGCATCTGAAATGTGTGGCTGTAGAAATGCTGCTGAAGATGATGAAAAAGCCCAGAGATAATCCCATGGTCATTAAGATTAAAGATGAAGATTAAGGGCCCAAATCGGCCTTTTGGAGATATGCATGTAGAAATAGGAGACTTCAGCTGATCTCTGTAGGTCAGCAGGATTTATTGTGGATTTTCTCTTGTGATTTCAACAAATTTGAATGAATTCACTGTGGAAAGGAGTCCAGTTCTGTGCATCTGCAAAGCATAATTATTTTTAGCCCATTTACTTGCTTTTACAGCTACAGGTTGGCTGAACTAATAAACCCAAGGTCACATCTTAGTCACATGGTTTGGCTAATATGTTCTAAAATGTATTTTAATGGTTTGTAATATTTTTAGGAACATGGTGATGAGCATTTAGGAATGAGGCAATTACCCCTGTCCTAATTTTCCTAGATATTTATAATAATAAATACAGAAAAAAGATACTGTGCCTACTGCTTTTCTTTTAGAAATGTCTATGTGTTGGAGGTGCATTTTTATAGGACCTGACTTCCTTTCCCTGCAGTTTTTTCTGTTATTTCTGTTTGTGCTTACAAGACAGGAAATGCTGATTGCAATAAACCAAAGAAAAGATATAAATGTATCTTTAAAAAAAAAAAGTCTAATATGCTAAAAGTTAAGCAAGCTGTAAAAGGCAAATAAAGTTTGTGTAGGTAACATATATAAATGAAAAATATGTCATTTTTGTACAGAGAGTATAATGAAAGGGATAAATTCCATCAGAGTAAGTCATGATACCGCAATAATCAGGTCATTTTTGTTTTATAGCAAATAATTCCTCTTTCTGCATTTGATTCTGACTCTAATCCTTTGCCTGTGAGTTATTGAATTCCATTACTTTTGCACATTACCAGGATCATTCCCCATTGCCATAGTGTTTTTTGAAGGTTTTTTGGTTTTGTTTTTTTCCTCCCAAAGTTTGCCAGTGGCTGTTCTGGAAAGTCTATTCCATTGTTTAAATCATTAATGACAGTGTTGAATAAAACCAGAGCCAGCAGACACATAGCCCTGCAGGGAGCCCTGGTTTGACAGGGAAAAGTTGGTAGTTTGTTTTGAGTGCAGCATCCCAGCCAGCTCTCATTTATCTGGTAATAATAATAATATCATTAAACAATACAATAATACCATTACATATCAAAAGCTGTGTTGTGCAACTATATCAAGAATCTGTAAAAGTGAGAAACTTCACATTGGCCATCCCTTAGGAATTCCTTAAACATTTCAGAGAGTTTTATGGGGGGTGCTTTGGTTCTGGATGGTTTTCCATGAGAAATCCCAGTGAATGGTTGTCATGCTGTCCTGTGTGTGTTACGAGGTATTGAAAAAGGGTGACTCATCTGCATTTCCTCAGATCCTTTCTGCTTTGGGAAGGAAAAAGTGATTGATTTCCTCCCTGAAGCCAAGACAAACCAGAGAAAAATCTGGTAGCATATGATAGTACATGACAAAGACTTCGATTAATAATATCTTTGTTGACACATTTCAACAATCTGTAAATATATTTAAAACAGTCAGTGTGTGTTAGCACGATGTGTTTCATATTCATCATTGTTCTAAAAGTTAAAGATTGCATTTTGTTCCTTGTGCCTCATGGTAGTGAAATGCCATCATACAGCCACAAAGTCTTTCCTGTCAGATCCATTCCTTGGGAATTCTGCTGGGTGCTCCCAGTTTCAGGCTGCATTGATGGCAGACAAGAATGTGGGGCTGGCTGGCTGTGTCAGAGACACATTTCAAGCTCTTTTCCATCTTCCACAACTCCTTATTGATTTGTGGAGGGAAAAGCAAGGCATGGTAATCAAGACAAGGGATGGCTGTGCTGGCGCATTAACTATCCCATTTGTTTTATAGAGAAAGCTTTAAAGATTAATGTTCACCATGTTTAAGGTATTCTTCTTTCTTTTTGCAGCAATCCAAAGTCTGCTAATCAGAGGATAAACAAAAAAGTAAACAATGATGCATCATTAAGGATTCAAAATTTGTCCATTTTGGTGAAACAAATTAAAACTTACTATCAGGTCAGTAATTGTTTGTTGTGTTGTGTTTTGCCTGGAATTATTTCTAAGTTTTCTTCTGTTGTTACGGTTTTAACGGTAACAGGAATAAGATGAACAAGAGCTATTTGTATGGATGATTGTTTAGCTATGTAGTGAGATTTTTTTATCACTATTTACAGGTATAAAGGTGGTGTGGACACACTTTTATGCGAATGATGATCTGTTTATAGAATAAATATTCTGTGTGTTCAGTTATTCCTGTGGTGCATTAAGTATTATTGGTTGGTATTTTCTGAGTTGAAGCAAGTTTTGTGCCCGTGGGAGAGATTATTACATGTGCATTTAGTCTTGTAAATGGAATTTTTGTTAGAAAAAGGTGATGCAATTTACTGGGCTTAGAATTAATTTGGGAATTGGTAGTAAATGCTGTGAGGAAGATCTAAGTCAGAGCTGTGAAAGAGCCACTGGAGTTTGATGCAGCAGTAGGAGCTGTGCCTGCTGGATGCTCAGCTGGAGAGGACATGGACATGCCACAGCTGGGCACTGCAGCTGCCACCAGTGTCCCTTTAGTGTGGCTTTTAGTGCCCTTCCACATTCCCCTGCTCCTTCCTGCCAGGGGATCCCACATCTGGGAGAAAACTGCCTCTCCCTTTGCTCTGCCTCTCCCTGGCCAGCCTGTGCTGAAGTCTGCTGCTCCTCCTGTGTCCACACACAGTGTGTGCTTCCCAAAACTCCGAGCACATTGAGAATTCCATGCTTCTCCCCAGCACTTCCCTCTCTCCTTGGCAGTCCCTGCACGTGGATATATGTGCTGCCTGCTAAGGCCCATATGCTTTTCCTTTTCCTGGTGGAAGTATTTTCCACCAGGCATTAGTGTCCCACAATGGATGCAGCAGAAGGCACTGACAGGATTGATCTTTATTGGAACACAAAGCATTCCCCATCCTGCACCGGCCTCACCCTAGCACCAGTCCAAGTGCTCCAGTACCAGGCAGAATTGCTGGCATTTAGGTTCCTTTGGATGATTCAGGATTGTGGATGTTGCTCCAAACCTTTGTGATAGAAATAAATTTATTAGAGCTTTTTTAAAATAAAAAAGTATTAATTTTTAAGAAATGAAAGCAGCCACCATGCCTTTAATGGTCCAGCTGCCCTTTAACTACTTTATACACTTGTCTCCCCTTTCCCTCCCCAGTTTTTCAGGGTTTTGGTCACCATGCAAACATTGAAGAGCTGGTGTTTCTAGCAGGAGTAAAGGCCTTTAAACTGGAGAGCTCCTTTTCATTTAAAATTGGTTTTTGCGTGTGTAGCTATTCAGTACCTGCAGGGAGGTTTGTGCTTTGTGGTGGTTGAAGTGTTAAAGGATGGGCTGTTTCACAGAGGGGTCAGTTGAGTTCCTCTCACCTGTGAAATTCCCTAAGGCAGGAAAGCTGGGGCTTGATGGATGTATTGGAATCAAACTGAGAGGCCTCCCTTAGCCTGGGGTGAGGCAGGAGCCTCACACCCCAATGCTCCTGAAAGCTGAGGGGACAGGCAGGTGCCTGGGGGTGCTCCCTGGGGAAGCCCAGGGGAGGGGACAGGAGAGAGGATTTTACTGAATGTTAGACACTGATGAATGTGGGAATTTGGAATTTTTAGCATTGTTTTAATGTAACTCTTAACACTTCTCACTGTGAGCTTGTCCATGCTGGTTTGTTCCCTGTGGTTCTATAACACCTGGGGAAAACCTTCTCTCAGTTTAGTGAAAAATTGCATCAGTGCTGTGGATTTACTTGTCAAAAAACCCTGCACTAGTAGAATATAACAGTCAAAATCAAGGTGTTACATTAGATTAGCCAATATTTTTTTGTTCCTGCATCATCATTGTTATTCTCTGGAATTACACTTCTGGTCCTGAACCAGTAATCTGAGTGTGTACATTTCTTGGCAGTGTAAGAGCATGGAACTGTTCTCAGCAGTTAATTTCAGACAAGTGATTCTAAATTTTGGAGAAATTTTGGGCTCGAGAGATTTAATCCAGTGAGCGTCCATGACTCTCAGCAGATTTGACTGAGGATGTGAAAATCTTCAGTAAAAGAAATGCTAATGAACTGGAAAAGTTTGTGCAAGCCAAGCCAGTGCTGAGGTTAACACCAAATGACAGAAAAGGTGTCAGACATCTCTGGGGCGAGGCAGAGGTGTTGTAAGGAAACAGGTGATCATGTCCATTCAGGAGACATATCTTGGTTACTGCTGCTCATATTCTGCTTTGATACATGATCAGCTTTATGATAGCATCATGGAATTATTTATGATACTACCAAAAAACACCCCCAAAAAACAACAGAAAGCCACTTGAAAAATACGTGATTTTCTCTCATAGCAGTTGTCGATACTCATTAAATTAATTATATTTTATTGGTTTCATATTGATTTAAAACATCTTGTGGTGCACTTCATATCTTATTTTATTTGAACATCATCTTTTTCAGAGTCTGAGAAGTACAGGTGTCACAGTTGGTAGAATTTCATGATGTTTGAGGAGGTCAAAGCTGTTTTCTCCCTCCTTACAGTTTGTCTTAGTTGTGTCCAGAGAGAATTTATATTTCGCTGTCTACTGTTAATCAATTCAGATATAATTTTGATGTTGAATATTAACTGGTGGGAACTTTCAAGTGTAGCTGTAGCCAATAAATTCTACAGGTATTTTTCAAGAAATACTGGGGTTTTTTTCAATTTGACCTAAAGCAAGTGATTGTTGCTTACATTGACACCTGCTGTGTGCCTTGGGCTCTTCTGGAATATGTTGCTTTTGAGTAGGAGCATTTTCTATAGTAATGGATCTGTCACTGTGGAAAAATAAGAAGCCTGACTATAGGATGGCATCTGCTGGGAATAAACATCTGGGAACAGGAGAAATACTGTTTCAGGAGAATTAGGCTCTGTCTAGACTGGGGATTTGACCCGATTACAGCCATTACAGGAGCTCCATTGATGGAATCCATGGAACAGATAGGCAGAGCTGCTGCCAGGAGCGTGGCACTTCTAAGCTAAAATTCCATGTGGGTTGTGCAGACAGGGGTTTGCACCTGTATATTCACAGCTGGCCCAGTGTCACTGCAGCAAAAACCCCCTGGGATCTTCACATCCACGTTTTGGTGAGGCCAAAGAAACCGTGACAGAAAGGAAGTTGAGTTTTTTGCAGTAGAAATGCACCTTAGAGCAAATAAAACCAATAGGTATCAATAAGTTAGTCAGGGAAACATGAACATAATAAATGTAAAGGGTTTTGCTGCATTCTGAGACTCAGGATCTCATTGGCTTAAGATTCCTAAGCCAGCTCGTTGCCACGAGAGGATTTTGCTGTGTGAGATGATTGTACAAACCGGTAAAACAAAGGTTCTATAGAAGTAACTCACATTTGTAAGTTATTTTATTAAATTATAAGGCAAATAATTAAGTAGTGTATGAATTGTATGTATGAAGTCCTAAAAAATATTAAAACTGTTTTATTAATACTGATTTCTCTTCAGTGGCTCTTGGTATTTGATGTTTGCTTTCATTCAGTATGTATGATGTAAATAATGTTTTAATTAACTTTTATAGGAGACTTTGCAGCAGTTGATCATGATGTCTTTGCCAAATGTGCTAATAATTGGCAAAAATCCTTTTTCTGGTAAGTTTATTTTTGACCAAGATAAAAAATGTATACTGGTGTGATAATTTATATTATTTCACTGGAAATGAAATTCCTGTAGGGTTGAGCCTTTCAACAGAAGGTTGTGTAAATACTTCATTAAATAAGTGGTTTAATAATGATGAGTAGTGATTTAACAGTGATTTTCTTTGTCCACACTCTAAAAAATGTGTTCTGTCCCTCAGCCCTGGCTCTCAGTAGGATTTTTACTGAGCCTGAGTGCATTTCCCAGCATCCAGTGAACCGCTGATGGCACAAAGTTAAAGTTTCATGTACTCCCAGCTACTGCACTTTCAACTTTCTTTACCTGTGTCACCGCTGAGGGAATTGGCAGTTCAGTGCATCTCACTTGATCCAGCTCCTGATCCTTGTTTCTCCTTCCCCCAAACTCTCCTGCTTCTCTTGCATCCTTACCTGAAAAATACTGCACTTACCTTCTTGTTTTCTCCCCTGAACTGACACTGTCTTCTCCATGCTCCCACCTTCTCTGCTTCCAGCTCTGAGAGTTGCAATTTTCAGACCAAGAAAATTAGCCTGTGTGGAGCCAGCTGACTATCCACAGCCTCTTGGGAATCTCTGCACCATGCTCTCAATTCCAGAAGCACGGAGCAGACACACCTGGCCTGCATGGAGCCACTATGGATTGGGCAGAGTTTATTTACTTGGGTCTAATGTGCCCCAGGTGTTCTCCTCCTGACGTTCTGACACCTCAGCAGAGAGGTCAGGAACTGCTCTAACAGGCTGTGTAGCTTCCCCTGGCTGTTTTTATTTCTTTGGGATGTCTTCTCTGCCACGCTTCCGTGTCTGTGGGACAGGGGGTTCCTCATGAGCCAGAAGAACCATCTGTGTTTCCTCACTTCCCGATCCCAGGGCTCATAACATTGGTATTTTCCATATTCCATCTGCACATATCCCATCTCTGTAGGTATCTTGCTTTTAATTCTTTTGGGTTTTACTTTCTGCTTTTGGATATTGCTGCTTTTGCTTCTGAGGTCACAGCTTTTTCAGTTTTCATATGTGCAGCTGCTGTCATATGCACCAAGAAATGTGAATGTGGTCTCTTCCTTTCCAAAAGAACAGAATGCATCGTGCTTTTATAGTTTTGATTCCAGACTTTCTTAAGGTTTTCAAAAGACTGAAAGGATTTGCCTAGAAACCAGATTTACTGGAAAAACAGATTTTAAACAAACCCCAGGTCATAGTATTGTTTTGTAGTGACATTTTTTCTTCTGTTCAAGATACTGAGAGAAAATGTCTTAACAATATTGTGTAGTATAAGATGACATTTTATTGATAATGCACTATCAAACCCCAGAGAGACAATACTGCATTCAGTTGTATACATTCAATTTTATGGTTTGGTCATTTTTAAGGAGATGTCTTTATGTTTTGGGATCTGTGGTTTGGCAGCTCTGTGGGTGTGTGCTTTGCTCTTCTCCGGGGATTTTGTTGGATTTGTGAGAAAATTTGGAATTTCTTGTAGTGTAGCCTTCACATTAAAAAAAAAAAAAAATTGTTATGCTTGGACAAGATTCTTGAAGGTGTTTCAGCTGCCTGCTGGAGTTCAATCACAGAGTTTGGTTTGAACTAGAATATAGACCTGTTCTTTTGGGTTCTGTCCAGAACCTTTCCCCTTTGAAAGTTTGGACTGCTCTTAGTGTGTCAGCTTGGAAAAGGATGTCATCCCTACATGGATCTTTAAGCTTTTTTTGGGCAGGTGCAGGGAAATGAAACCTCAGTGACCTTTGGAGACACTTGCTGTGTAAATCTGGTTGCATCAAGGCAAGCCCTGGAGTAGAAGTCAATCCCTGATAAAGACTTGGATTCGGTCCACTAAAGCTTAGGCTGGAGGTGTGATTTTTCACAGGGATGTCTCCCAGATTTTCCCCTTTACACTTAAGGAATGATTAGGAGAGAAATCCCAGAAGATGCCAAATTGCAGATGGCAGGAGCAGGTTCCTGAGGCAGTTGGCTCATGGAGGAAAATGCAGAGAGAAGGCTGGAGCTGAGGTTTGGTAAAACAGGTCAGCAGGGATTTTATCAGGAAATATTTCCTGAGCTGATTGGCTGGAAAGGCAGTTGGAGGAGAGCTACAGCCTGTGACTGTAAATATTAAATTAAATTACAAAGGGATAATGATGAGGCAAAGGGGAAAGATGAAAGCAAGTTCATATAGGAGGCAGCAAGGCAGGGGAGGATGGAAGCCTGCAGAGGGTGTGAAAGTCAGGGATTAGGGTGAACACAAGCAAGGTCAAACAGTGGCACAGGGTAGGGACAAAGTTCAGCAGCAGGGTGAAGGGTGTAGAAGAGAATCATCTGTTTCTGTATTTCTGATGGAGGAAAAGGAAATAAAACAGAAGATGAGGGAAGCTGAGATGGTTCAGTATTTTGCCCTGTTCCTTCAGGGAATGTGGGAGAGACAAGGAATCAGTATTCAGGCAGGTGTTTGAAAGGCAGTCAGGAGATGAAGAGTGAAGAGGAGCTCAGGGATTGCTTAAAAATGAAAAAAGTGTGATTAATTTATTGGGATAAGTGAATGTAGGCTATGAGCTGTTGGCATGGATTCCTCCTGTTGCAGTATTCCTGTTAACCTGTATTGATAAGACAGCCAGGTGGAATTCCCCTTCTTCAGCTGAAGCAGCTTCTGGTGAAACACATTGCTTGATGCTTTTTCTATTTCTCCATAAAAAGACTTTCACAGCTCGAGCTTTTGGGATACAAGAAATCTTTTGGGAAAACAAGAAAATTAATAAATGATTAAAAATCTCCCATTTGATACTATGTTTTTTGTAATGTATTTATCTACCTGAAAAACCTCTTGAAAAAGTGCAATATTCCATGTTCATTTGGATTATACACATTATGTAGCTCCCTCCAAAAGCAGCAGCTTGAGTCAATGCCTAAACTGTTTTGTCATCCTTGAAGCATTTGCTTCATGGAAAATTTATGTTCTAGATATAGAATATATTTCTGTATTTAGTAGCAAGATGAGGACACTGTGAGCATAAAAAGTAAGAAACATATTTATTAATCTGTAAACAGAGTTCTTTAACTTAAGCTTCTTTAGGAGATTAAGATGCTTAAGGCCAGATTTGGAAATACATTTTGATTTTTTGGATGTGCAGATGAAGATCTAACACAGCTTTGTAAGGTGAACTTGTCACCTAAACTCTTCCAGTTTGGGAGAGACAGATAATTTAAGCAGTTTTGTAACTATCTTGAGATACCTGAGATTACCATTGAAAACTTGATTGAAGGTCTCCAAAGCATTTCTAAAAATGCCACTCTGAAGTTTTGCTTTTTGAAGGGCTGAACTTCATTTTAATTGTTATTTAGGCTGTTAAGGTGTTTGGTACCTCTGGGAGTCAGCAGTTAAATGGCAAAAAGGATTGAGCTGAAAGCTCATCTGGTTGTTTTAAAACTAGCTTAACATAAATGACATGGAAATAACGAGAAAACTTCATGTTTTCTGAGGTATAGGGGAAGAAACTAATTATAATTTTACAGTTACCATTTTTTCTCGTTTTCTTCTTAGAGCCAGGTACTGAAGAAGTAAAAAAGCTTCTCCTCCTTTTGCTTGGTTGTGCAGTTCAGGTGAGTTTAATTATGTTTGTCTCTATGAATCTTTCTAGTTACTGATCTCTTTCCTTAATATTTTAGTACTTGGGATGGTATAAAACTTTTCTTCCTTTGGTGGTACAATTGCATTCCTTGAAAAACTGGAATATTCTGATTTTTAATTAAATGGCTACAACCCTATACCTGTTATTGCATAAATACCTCCAATACCATCATAACCTTCAAATGGATTATTAATTTCAATAATGTTAATTTACCTGATACTGTAAAGAAAGGAAGGAAATGGTAAAGCACTGAATATTAACTGACTGCACTATTTCATAAATTTAATAAATATTTAATAAATTCAATTTATTTATTTTATAATAATAATTTTATAATAATTTATTTCAAGCTTATTTAATAAATTCAAATAAATAGCAATATTTCATGTTCATCATTCACTAAATTTGAATAAGTAGCAATTTTAAGAAACCTTTTCCTTGTCCCATTTCAACTTGTTTTTCCTTGTATCACTTAATTAGTTTTAAGAGCTGTAATTGCTGTAACGTGGCATAAACCACAGATTTATTAGGACCAGAATTATTGGATAACAATTTAGCCATGTGGCCATTGCAATGTCAGCTTAATAAGTTTTAGCTCTTGAGAAATACAAAAGAGGAATGAAAATATTTGTGATTGTACATACAAATGTGTATAAAATAGATGTCTCTATTTTTAGTGTCAGAAAAAAGAAGAATTTATTGAAAGAATCCAAAGTCTGGATTTTGATACCAGAGCAGCTGTTGCAGCCCATATTCAGGAGGTATTTTGGGGGGTTTTTGCTTTTAATTCTGGGGATTTTTTGAGGTGGAATATTGTATTGCAGGAAGAGGAGTTGCACGTGTTCAATGGCAAGTAAATCACATATGTGATTTGCATATTGAGTGGTTGTAGTAAGCAAAAAAGGCTTTATTTTTTTCACTTGATTCACAAAAAGATTTCATGATTGAGCATTTTTGGGTTATATTTTTAGAGCAGTACCAGAAAGCAAATTTGTTGCTTCAAGGATTTCTTAGTTACATACAGCAAATTTAGTTTAGTGAAATCTTTATATGCAAATTTCTTTATAAAATATAATTCCAGTATGTGGTAGGTAATTTATAATGTTATTGTCACCTTGCCAGAAGGACAAGTTGCTGCTTCCAGGTAGACAAAAAACTCTTCCTTTGCATTCAATTAAATATATTTTAAATATTTTTTCACCCTAGTCCAGAGAATTTAACCTGTAGAGTGGCAGCTTTATATTTCTTTATGCTTCCTTTCTACTCTTAAAATTTCAAGAGGGTGTTTCTTCTCTTTCCTTTCACCCCATGTAGGTAACTCATAATCAGGAAAATGTGTTTGACCTGCAGTGGATGGATGTCATTGTGCTGACACAAGAGTATGTTGAGCCTCTCCTGAAAAATATGGCATTGCATTTAAAAAGACTTATAGATGAAAGAGATGAGCACTCAGAGGTATGGTGTGGGTTGGTGCTGAAGAGAAATACAAGAAATCTTTTTTTATTTTTGATATAATGCAAAGGATTTCTAGGATTTTCAGGATTTTTATAACTAACAGTTTAATTTTGTGCTGACATCTTAAAGCAAGGATTCCTGACTGCCAGAACATTGTTTCAAGGGGTTCTTTTGTGCACATTTGTTAACAAATGTAGGAAAGATAAAGTAGGAATAAAGCAGGAAAGATAAGGGATGATCTATTCCACGTAGCCAGAGTGGGAAACAACTTCAACATTGATCACTAGCTGAAAACAGAGAATCCAAAGCTGTATCAGCTGCATTTACCAGGAATCAATAACCCATCAATTTGCAGGCTAATCACTGGAAGCTGCCTGTTCTATTCCCATGTCCTATTGTCCAGGTTTGAGGGGGATAAAGCAGAATCCATACCAGGAGAAGAGCTTTTGCAGGCTTATCACGAGGCACAGTTGTTGGACTGCGTTAGAATCAAGGAACAGAACTGTATTTAATAAAAATTACGAGTTGTGAATCATCTTGGTGCTCCCAGATTTGCCCCTCAGTAGAGTGGATGTGTCAGTGTTGCAATTATTGCAGATATTCCTTTGACAGTTTTTCAGGATCACAGCCTTGATCAGAGTGAAACAGAGGGTAGAGGATGGTGCTGATGCCTTTGTGCAAAGCAAAGAAAAAGTACTTTAAACTACAAGACGTGTTCATGTTTGGCTAACACCTTTATTTATAGGGGGAAATAGGAATATATCTGTAGATCTGATGCTTTATTCAGTTGTCAAGGATGCTGCTGCTCGCTGAGGAGCACATCTTTGTTTAGAGATACACGTTCATCTTTATTTTCAAGAGGTGGTTTGTTTTCAACACACTTTCCATTGCCAGTCCATTCTGATCACTGGTCATTTTGTGGCCTTAAAAACCTAAAGTGAAAAATAAAATATAAAATAGCAGAAGGTCCTGTTCAAGAGCTGTGGCTCTCTTCTTTAGGTGTGAAGGTGCAGGGAGAGCTTTTGACTTGTTGGACAGCCAAAACGTTTCCGTCGTTCTTGTGCCGTTGCGGTGTTTGTGTGAATGACACACCCAGAAGTGGCTCTGTGAGTGCCACTCTGGACTCTTTTCCTGTGCTCTGCCTCCCCAGACCATCATCGAGCTGTCGGAGGAGCGGGACTGTCTCCGTTTCCTGCCGCACGCGTCGGCGGCGCAGTCCCCGTGCGGCTCCCCCGGCATGAAGCGCACCGAGAGCCGGCAGCACCTGAGCGTGGAGCTCGCCGACGCCAAGGCCAAGATCAGGAGGCTTCGGCAGGAGCTGTGAGTACCAATTCACGCTCAAATCCTTGCCACACGCTGCCTCAGCGCACTTCTAGTCCTCTTCAGACCAGTTCTTCATCCTTCCAAATGCTTTTTTTAGTTATTGCTCCCCAGGAGGGGTATTTTTATCACGCAAGAAGATTTGTGGACCCATGGGACAAATACAACTTTTCATCTGTGTTTGCCTCTGTTTGTATTCATAATGATGTTTTGACCTAAATTTTTCACTCTGATGTCCCTGAAATGATGGATTAAAGGTGGAAGTCTCACAAATCTCAGTGTTTTGTTCTCAAACCAGGTGATCATTAAAAGGAGATGGTGCAGGAGTAATTCTCTCTCAGCAGCACAATTAGGTGACCTGTTTCCAACAAGAAATACTCACCTATGGTGAATTCATGGTTTAAATTCTTTGCAGAGAGGACAAAAAATTTCAGTTAGAATGCTTTCCTGTCTCCCACCTCATTGTTCCTGTGTGAAAGATTTCTTGTCTGCACAACACTTACTCGCTCCTGAAAACTGCTCCTGATTCTGTGGGTTTCTGTGGGCACTTTGTCTTCATAGTCAAGGAAAAAATCTGAGCAGAGTGAGGAGTTATTTAAAAAGAAGATCAATAACAGCCCTGTGGAGAATCTGCTTCTCCTTGTAGCAATGTGTCAGTTGTTTTAGCAGAGTGAAGTGTGTGTGTTCTGAATGAAAATGCTCAATCTGAAGAGATTCAATATGTGTAGAAACAGCAAAAATAAAGATATTTTTTTTAAATTCAGCAATGGAAAAAGGAGACAGGTAAATTTAATCACAAGCTGAAGGTAGCATAAGTCACAATTTTGATCAGATCATTTCTAGCTGGCTGGATTAAGGATCTTGTTGATTTACTCCGAGGATCCCCTTCCCCCACTACAGCGTGGTCTTCATGAGGAACAGAGGACAAAAGATGGGGCTCTTTTTTCCTGATGTCTGTATTATTATGTGTCTCCTGCAATGAGCCCGCCCAGGATATTCTATAAACAGCTGCACCAAGAAAATTAGTGAAAAAATTGCTGTTATTAGTTTGATTGACAGTTAATAGATAGCCTAAACAGTGAACACTGGTATGTTCTGTATAATTTAGTCCAATCCTCTCCAGTCTGTAGCTGAAGCGTGCAATTAGGGCAACACTGATGGCTCAGAGCAGTCCACATTCTGCATTCTTATTTGAATTCAGTTGGTAAATAATTTTCCTTTACGTGTAGGAGTATCTTAAAATACCAGACTTGGATGAATTAACTTCTGTCTGCAGCATTTAGTGTTAAATGCTGCATTTATTTGATAAATTTAAAATTACATTAATTCCAGACTTGAAAATACTCAGCATAAAATTTATTTATAATCTGGTTTTGGCAGTGAACCTTCCTACCTGGTTTAATATGCAGTGTAGCTGATGTAATTTCATATAAAAGGTCTGTAAAGATTATTTTTCAGTTGGATGCAAACCAGGGAATACAGAAACTCCAAAACTGGAAACTGCACACCTCATTTTCTGAATGTTGAATTCTGTGTGTTCCCATGTAGAGCAATAACAGGAATAAGGAACAGTTACAGAAATCAGGAATAAATCTGTGTTTGTGCCTGGTTTCTGAGCACCTCTGGAGGGGGAAAGCTGTGACAGAGATGTTGCACTGAGCTGTGCAGAGCTGAGCCTCCTGTGCTTGTAGGCTCAGTGACCTTTTCCAAACAATCCTTTTCTAAAAAGATCATTCATGGTGAAATTGGCACATTTTTAAAAACAACTGCTCTAGTTTTGTCTAAAACAAACCTATTTTTTGTTGGCATGATTGCTTTGAGATAGTATTATACATTTCAGTCTGTTAAATTTTCTTATTTCCCCCTTTCCTATTTTTGTTTCTTCCTTGTATTCTGGACTGTGGAATAATACAGTAACACATTTGTATATGCAATATAGCTTTTAATATTGGGAGGTTTTTTAACAACAAATACTGTTTGTTCTGAAGTGCAGTTGAATTTTGAACATCAGGTGTTCTTTGTCTGTGAGAGAATTAAATATTTCCTTTGCACATGCTCATGGTTTAATAAACTCATTTTTTGAGGCTAGGGAAATGAGTTGGAAGTTACAGAATGAGTCCTGTAAGAATTGTAGCATTCTTTGTCAAATTGCTTTTATCACAGGTTTCTGAGTAGACTGAAACAGACATTGTGTTGTTTCCATAAAATTAAAATTCATTGTGTGTTTCATGAAATTACTGAGCTTATTAAGCAGTATCTTCTTCAATTGAGTAAAGACACCTAAAACCCTTAATAATTCTTCTCTGCAAGAAAAGGAAAAATTACAGAACTATAAAAATACTTTTAAAATTGGCTTTACTTCATTGTGACAAGGGGTCAGTGTCTGGTTCTCCTGGAAAGAATTTGGACCTTTTGGATGTGTAATTTCAAATTATTCTGAGTTGACTTTTAGATGGGGATCTCCTTGTACACATTCATGTGTATTGTCTGTGTTTTTTTTCCATAAAATCCCTTACTGCAAAAATTCTCTTATTACACCCCATTTTCTACCCTACCTGAGTAGGAAACAACAATTTAAAGCATTATGAAAAGTCTAACAACATTTAAAATATTATTAGCTAAAGACTAAAACCAAAAGAATAACTAAGTTTTAATGGCAACTCTAAATTTTACCCTTTGATGTCCCTGAAATTGTGGGTTAAAGGTGGAAGCCTCACAAATCTCAGCATTTTGTTGTCAAACCTGGTGATCATTAGCAGGTTCTGTGGCCATGTTGAACTGGTTTGTGTTTTCTCCTTCAAGTGAGGAAAAGACTGAGCAGCTGCTTGACTGTAAACAAGAACTGGAACAGATGGAATCTGAACTGAAGAGACTTCAGCAAGAGGTGTGGGTTTAATCATTTTATTCTTTTAAGAAAAGCTGCCACCACCAGAACAATTCACCACTCTTTATCTGATATTAAATATGTTTTCATGTTTTTTATTTTGCACTCTGAACCTGACCTTGTGTAATTTATTCCTTTATACTTCATTTGGTATATTATGATGGAGAAAAATGCCCTGACTTAGGTTAGTATTCCTTCTCTATTCTTTTTGTTTCTTCATTCAAGCAATTTGCCACCAGTGCATCCTCTGAAAGGCTCTTCTTAAAATGAAAGGGCTCCAATTTTGTCTGGTTTTTCTTTATACTTTGTGATATGAGGGGAAAAACCCTAAATACATATAAATATATATATAAATATACAATATCTATGTAATTACAGCAAGTCCTTGAAAAAGGCCAGTACATTTTCCTTGGAAATAAACCATCTACAATCCTCTCCAATTCCCTTAATTTAAGCAACGAAGGAGCTGTGTTAGCCCTGAGCATGTTGTGTAGCTGTGTCTCCCTTTGTCCCAGAACATGAACCTGCTGTCGGACGCCCGCTCTGCCAGGGTGTACCGGGACGAGCTGGACGCGCTCCGGGAAAAGGCGATCCGCGTGGACAAGCTGGAGAGCGAAGTCAGCCGCTACAAAGAGAGGCTCCATGACATTGAGTTCTACAAAGCCAGGGTGGAGGTGAGGAAATCCAGGGGAAAAATCACCCAGGGCCCACCATTCTCCTCTTGGCTTTTTCAAAGTGGATTTGGAGATTTTAAAGGGTTGCAGCTTCTTGCTCTGGGATATGGCAGTCAGGCTTTGGTGACAAATTCCAGTTTTTGGGGAACTGTCTCCGTGTCTAATGGCGTGGAAGTCAGCAGTGTTCACCAGAGCTCTAAGCTAGCAAGGCCAGTGGAAGCCTCTGTGAAGGATGAATTGAGAAACCCACAGAGAATAAATTAAAAAAAACCTATAAATGTAATAATTCCTTTCTCCTTCTGTAGGATTCCTTATAATGTAATAATTCCTTTTTCCTAAGGGAAAGCAATTTTCTAAGTGGAGTGTTGAGGAAATGAAAGCTGTTCACATAAATGAGTACAGGACAATGGCATAAAATACACTAAAAAAAGATGTACCAGCATCAGGGAAGGGGAACTTAGAGTTCTGGCATGAATTAGTAACTTAGGAGACAAATCAACATGCAGGAATTTATCAGGCCATCATTCTGTCTGTAAATGCCAAATTTGATGGGCAAGTGCCATATGGCATAAAAATCAGTAAAGAAAAACAGATTAGTAAATGGGATTTGACAACAGTGGAAGTTTCATTTTCATAGAATGTTTAAACTAATAAACCCTAAAAATGGTTTATGTGCTTTCATAGCTTGTAAAATACCGGATATTTCAAGCATGCTTCAGTACAGACAGATGTTAATTAGTTGGGTTTGCTTCATAATAATTATAAGTTAACTTAATATTTGTGTAGGGAGGAGTATGAGGAATATTTATGTGATCCTTTTTCAGATTTTGCAGCTGTGTGCTGAAGTTCAAAAAGTTTTGTCTTTATATCACAAGGAAAATTGCCAATTATGTATTTTACACATTACTTTCCTCAGATGCTATTAAAAAATCCTCTGTGTATGTACCAAAATTAAAGCTGCTCAGACCCTTTGAGAGTGGCTGCTTGTATTTTAAGCTTGTGGTTGCATTTTCAGCATCATGGCCTGACTTAGGGCCCAGTGGCCTATAAACCTAATTTTGGGCTGTACATGCAGTACCTCTTTCTAGATCACAGCCCAAAATACAGGGATTCTGATGGTTTGATTGGAATCATCAACACCTTATTTGTTCTTAATGGCTTTGGGAGTATTTAATTTAATTTATGTCAAATGTTATTTTCACAGAAATTCACAAGTTGCATTTCTGTGGAATTGCTGTAAATGTACTTTTTTATGTTTTAGTTTAGGTTTCTGAAACTGCTTGTGATGTGTATCAGAGTCTGTATGAGCAGGGGAATACTTCTGGTTTGGGATTTATTTGCTGTTGCTGCTCCATTTTGGCAGGAGTTAAAGGAAGACAATCAAGTGTTGCTGGAAACCAAGACAATGTTGGAAGATCAGTTAGAGGGAACCCGAGCCCGTTCAGACAAACTGCACGAGTTAGAAAAAGAGAATTTACAGCTAAAAGCTAAACTGCATGATATGGAGATGGTGAGTGTCAGGGGAGGGTGGCAAAGGCAACTGATATACACTGAATTTCATTTCCATTGTTAATAAAAGCCTTCAAAATAGCGGGGAAAAGAAGGAATGTGGTGATAAATGCAGAGACTCAAGAGCAAAAGGATTGATTTTTTTGGATGTGAATTGATTATAAATACTGTATTTACCCCATGCACTTTGCTTCCTAATATTCAGAGAGGAGTAAACTTCAGAAGAGTAAGGAGTGATTGCTGTAGGTCATGAGAGGAAGAGGTTCTTTATAATCTTCTTTTTGCTCTTCCATTCAAAATTCTCCCAATTCTTGCCAGTTGCTCCCCATCTGACTGTCTAGGCAGATCAGAAAAAGCACTTTGCCCTTCCCTGTGACAGCATAGTAAAGATAATAGAATACAGATATTAATAGAATATAGGTAATCAAACACTTTGCACGTTTTGAGACTTTTCTTTTAACCTGTGAAATCATTTTCAAGGAGCGTGATATGGACAGAAAGAAAATTGAGGAGCTCATGGAGGAAAATATGACCCTAGAAATGGCTCAGAAACAAAGTATGGATGAGTCTCTGCATCTTGGCTGGGAGCTGGAGCAGATAAACAGGACTACTGAACTTTCTGAAGGTAAACATTACTGAAGTAAACAGTTACTGCTTGGAAAGCGATTGAAATGGAAATCCCAGAGGCTGGAGGGCATTAGGAAATTAAATATCCTTATTTCTGAAGTACTGAGCATGTTGTGCTCTGGAGAAATGCTGATTCCCATGTATCCATGGAGATGCAGCCTAGAAGTCTGTTCTTGTGGTTCTTGTTCAGTTAAATAAAGCCCATAAATACCTTGAAATCGCATTATTTTGCCATTCAGACTTCTGTACTCTGCAGCACAGATCATGAGGCTTCTTGCTTTGCTGTTAAGGAGAAGGGCTGTAGTAAAAATTTTGAATCTTCCAGGATAACATGCTTGGATATAAACTGGGTTCTGTGCAAAGCACTTGTGGAGTTTGGAGAGACATCCTGAGCTGTGAAACGAATCTGTGCTGTGATTAGGAACATGAGAGTAGAACATATTTTAATTTCTCATCGTTCTAATCCTAATCAGCTCTGATCACCAAGAAGGCACTGGAAGGACCTTCAAAGGCTGTTAAATTCTTAAGTTTAAAATGCAAAATCCCAAGAACTCTGGCTAATAAGTTATCTTTTATTTTAATAATGGTGTTTTTCTCCCGCAGTGCCCCAGAAATCCCTGGGCCATGAGGTGAATGAGCTGACATCCAGCAGGTTACTGAAGCTGGAAATGGAAAACCAAAGTTTGCTGAAGACAGTGGAAGAGCTGCAGAGTGCAGTGGGATCTGTGGAAGGCAGCAGTTCAAGGATTCTGAAAATGGAAAAAGAAAACCAAAGACTTAGCAAGAAGGTAAAGGTCAGGGTGTGCTTGGATTGTGTGAGAGCTGCCTAATGTTCTTGGCTGTTCTCTTCCTAAAGGGTAATTTTATTAATTGCTGTTAATTTGGGTAAGGCACTACAAGGGTCTGAGTGGAGTTAGAGTGTTTGTAAGTTTATGGTATAAAATAAAACCACCTCCAAGAGGTTTTTTTTTTTCTTTTTGTTATGTGAGTGTGTGACCAGTTTATTCAGGAAGGTCTTAGAGCAGGGGAGGGGAAAAGATAATAATGTACTGGGGATATGATGAGTAATGAAAGTGGTTGAGAGTACTGGAGAGCATTAATTTTGGTAATTCTGGAGCAGAAGAAAGTGTGTGTGCAGAGGTAGAGAGTGACAGATGAGTCTGGGCTGAAAATTTGGTCCTGTGTCCTCGTTTTGGCTGAGGAAGAGAGAAGTTGGGTCAAGGAATTGATAAACAGCTCAACAGGGGAGTTTGTCAGGTGTTAACTGTGCTGAGCTGCAGTGCTTTACTCCTCAAGTTACATGTATCAAATAGAATAATTTAGTCAGTGGTATTTATAGAGAATAAAAACTAGAAAAAAAACCCCAAAACCTGGGACTAATTACAGTGGAGTGAAAATGTCTCAAGTTCCTGAAATAGCTTTGACTTCAGCAGTTACTTCAGGTGAAAGACTATTCTTAGAGTGGCTAACAGATAATTAAAAAAAGAAAGAAAATTAAAGAAATCCCTACTGTATTCCATGCATCCATAAGTTTTCTCATTCCTGAGAAGCTGGTGTTGTTTGGAGCAGCCTCTGTGCTGTGCCCAAAAGAGAGCTGGGAGATACAAAAGGTGTAAGAAACACACAAACATGGATCAGGTCAACTTGTTACAACTTCAGTGTGACAAAGAAATCATGCTTGGGGATTTTAAATTTTAAATAGTTTTGCTCTCTGCAAGTTGGAACCATTTGACAAAACAAACCCATATATTTAATTCCCAAGGAATCATCTTAATTATCTCTTGGAATAGTTAAGTAAGATCAAACAACATTCAACCTTCCTAAATTGAAAGGGTCTTAGAGGAGCAGTATGAATCTCACTAAAATGGAATTTTGAGAGGAAAAAAAAAAGATGCTTGAGGAAATATCCCGAGCCTGAGAATATTTGAGCCCTTTTTTACACCAAAGTACTTTATAGATACAGTGTTCTGAGCCAGGGAGAAAACTCTGGCAGGAGTAAATGTATTCCCAGAAGAAATTAATGTTTCAATTAAAGATTAGAAAATCCTGTTTTATTCTTTCCCTTAAGCTTCTTTATTCATTTCTGTAAGGGTGCCTTCAGCCCAGCTAAGACTGTCATTTTTAAGTACATTTTAAAACTTTTGTTTCCCTTCCCAGCTTGAAGAGCTGGAGAATGAAATTAGCCAAGAGAAACAAAGTCTTCAGAACAGTCAAAATCAGAGTAAAGATTTGATGAAAGAAAAAGCACAGCTTGAAAAGACACTTGAAGCACTTCGAGAGAACTCCGAGCGACAAGTGAGTAGCAGAACCAAGAGTCTGAACGCTGCTGTGGGCTCTGCTGGTCTCCTTTTGTAGGATTTTACAGACATAAAGGGATTGTAAGCGTAGTGGATTTGCCAAAAGGAGGTTCCTGCAGGAAAACAGCTTTGCTGGGAGCTGCAGCCAGTGAGAGACGTGACTCATTTCTGGCTGGGGCTTCCCTGGTGGGTTTAGAGCTTTGTGGTGCTTGTAACGCTTCCGTGGGTGTCTGCTGGAGCTGTGTGGAGGGTGTAGCTCAGCCAGGAGAGAAAACTGGGAACTTTGGAGGGAGGCCAGACACCTCCCAGAGCGGGAGAACAGCTGGCAGTGCATGGAGTAATGCTGGAGTATTGATGGGAATTCCAGCAGCCTCAGGTCCAGCTCCGTAATTCTGCCCTGAGCTGGGATGGGTTCCTGCTGTGAACACCTGGATTTATTTGTGGCTGCCTAAAACTGGCACCTGAATCTTTGTAAAAGATGTACCCGTGGACACTGGCACCTTCTGAGGTGTCTGCAGAGCAGCCACCAGGAAAAAGAGTTCTGGGAGTCCCAGATTGAGGAATTGAATCCTTCAGAACTGCTGTTAGCTGTTATAAATTCTATTTATACCTCCTGGTGGTGTGGCCATTTAGTTTAATTTAAAGCACACAGTATTTTGAAATGCAGAATATTTTATTTCAAAAAACGCTGAATATTTTTAAAGGCCCTGTTTAATCAGTAAATGAAATTCCAGAAGGAAGAAAAAAAAGGGAAGGGGCAAAAAAAAAGCTTGGCAGGGAAGGTTTGCTTTCATTTAAAGATATATATCTTGGTTTTGGACTGATATTTCAGTGGGACTATTTCTGCTTAAAAATAATACACTTAAGGGCTGATGGGTCAACAGCATATTCTGTTTCCCTTCCAAAATCCTGTGCTAACACTTACTGGAGTTGGCTGTAGGAGGTTGATTTGATCTCATCCTAAATCACAGAGGCATCTGTCGGGAATTTCTGCAGAATTGGAATTACAGAAGCAGAATTCCTAGACAGTAATTCAGTACCATGCCAGGTGCTCCAGAGTTATGTTTTTAGGCACCTGTTAATGAGTTTCTGGTGAATATTCCAGAGCAGTTTGTCATTGCTGGGAGAAGAGCTGTGGATCTGTAATTAATAGTTTCATTCAGATTTCACTATGGAAGAACAGCCTATAATTTTCTCAGTCTGTTTTTCATTGCAAGCAGGGATTTTGCTTTTCTCCCAAACAGTTTATTGTTGAAACATCCCTTACACTGGGTTATTAGTGTACACTTAAATATTGATCCAAACAGTTTTGCTGGATTTTGCTGTCTGGTGTTACAAGCCCAAATAATTCCAAATGATTTGGAGCAGCCTAAAAAGTCAAGAAATACTAAAAATTAAGGTGTAAGTCTGTCTTTATCCTTGAAAATGTTTCCTAGGAAAATAATTCTAATACGCTTTGCTATCCTCTGAGGCTGGTTTGGGACAGAATATTCAATAACCAAATATTTTTAACTCAAAAATCAGTGTAACTTCAGTGTGTTTCTTCTCAGATTGTTGTTGATTATGATCAGGATTCCCTCATCTCCCACCCATCACCTCTACTTTTTCCAAATGAAATAAATATATTTTTGTGGCTCCCACATGCCACTCCATCTCAGGTTTGGTTTAGAACTTGCAGTGCTGTTCTTCCTGGACACACAGCTCTGGAAATCAGAGAAAAAACAATCTAAATGAGGGTTAAACAACAAGTGAAAATTAATTTTGCTAGGAAGTAGGTAAAGCTTTACTTTGATTTGTGTTTTATTAGTTTTGGCTTTATATTTATCTATTAGTATCCAAGAGGAAGAGATTTGAAGATTTACTTTGTTGTCAAACTTGAAATAATGTTTGTAATTCTTCACATAAATATTAGCAGAGTAAAAGAGTTTTTTTTAACTTAAAACATAAATATGATTGAGTATTTTTTAGTTTATATATGGGAGCAATTCCTTGTTGGCACGTTGTTTATCGCTTTATCATTTTTCTACCCAAATTAGATTAAACTCTTAGAACAAGAAAATGAACACTTGAATCAAACTGTGGCTTCTCTAAGGCAGCGCTCGCAAATCAGTGCTGAGGCGAGAATGAAAGAAATTGAGAAGGAAAATAAAATCCTCCATGAGTCTATCAAAGAGACCAGCAGTAAGTTAAATAAGATGGAATTTGAAAAAAAACAAGTCAGGAAAGAACTGGAGCACTACAAAGAGAAAGGAGAGAGGGCAGAAGAATTAGAGAACGAGCTGCATCGTCTGGAGAAGGAAAATGAGTTATTACAGAAGAAAATCACCAACCTAAAAATCACTTGTGAGAAAATCGAGGCCTTAGAACATGAGAACTCTGACCTGGAGACAGAGAACAGAAAGCTGAAAAAAACCTTGGATAGCCTGAAAAACCTCACTTTTCAATTGGAATCCTTAGAAAAGGAGAATTCCCAACTCGACGAAGAAAATTTAGAGTTACGGAGGACAATTGAGTCCTTGAAGTGTACAAGCATTAAAGTGGCACAGTTACAATTAGAAAATAAGGAGCTGGAGAGTGAAAAGGAGCAGCTCAAAAAAAGCCTTGAGCTGATGAAAGCCTCTTTTAAGAAGACTGAACGCTTGGAAGTCAGTTACCAAGGCCTGGACACGGAAAACCAAAGGCTTCAGAAAGCCCTGGAAAACAGCAATAAGAAGATTCAGCAATTAGAGAGCGAATTACAAGATTTAGAGACTGAAAATCAGACCCTGCAAAAGAACTTGGAAGAGTTAAAAATCTCTAGTAAGCGCCTGGAGCAGTTGGAAAAGGAGAACAAGTTGTTAGAACAAGAGACTTCTCAACTGGAAAAGGATAAGAAACAGCTGGAAAAGGAAAATAAAAGGCTTCGACAGCAAGCAGAAATTAAAGATAGTACCTTAGAAGAAAATAATGTCAAAATCAGTAATCTGGAAAGGGAAAATAAATCTTTATTTAAAGAAATTGTTGTATATAAAGAGTCGTGTCTGCGCCTGAAAGAGCTGGAAAAGGAAAACAAAGAACTGGTGAAAAGAGCTACCATTGATAAGAAAACCCTGGTCACTTTGAGAGAGGTAAACACAGAGGAGTTTCCATTCCCATCATAATCTGTTTATAATGTACAGAAATTATATCTGGGTTTCTGATTTGGGTGGTTTTTTCTACTTTAATGTGTGCACTATTAATGCCATTGGATAATCAAAATTTCTATAATCATAATCATGAAAAGGAAGAGTATCATTGCTGGAATGTTTCACTGTCATGTTCCAGCCCAAATTTCAAGGGAAATTCTAAAGGGAAAGGGAGAGAGCACAGAGAAATCCTGTTTTAGTTACAATGTAAGGTCTGATACAGCTGAAAGCTGACAACTGCAAGAAGAATTGAAGTTGAATTATTCCAGTCATGTAGTGATAAAACACCCTTGTCCCAGCACTCCTAGAACTAAGACTACATTGCTTGATTTTGCTGAAAACACTGACTGTAGTTTTTTCTGTGCAAGGACTTGGTGAATGAGAAATTGAAGACTCAACAGATGAACAATGATCTAGAGAAACTGGCCCACGAGCTTGAAAAAATTGGCTTGAACAAGGAGCGTCTCCTGCACGATGAGCAGAGCAGCGATGACAGGTGAGAATGGCAGGGCCTGCATGACAAAGAGGAAAAATGAGGCTCTTTTTTATTCATAAAGTGCTTTTGCAGACTGGTTCTGTGCATACTCTTAGATTTTTAAGGCACACTCATAGATCCAAAAAGGAACTGGATATTTTTGGAAGTTAATTAGTTGATGTGCTTTCACGTTCAGCTGACTGTGACAGTGACTTGCCACTTTTTGTTGCTAAGAGACTGGTTGAAGTATGTCAGGAGATATAGTTAATTATAATTAAAATGTTTTATGCTCTAGTCAGCAGCAGCAACAGTAGCAGTAAAAGATAATTAGCTTAAAGTAGTCTTTTTTTTTCCTTTTTGTCTGCCTGTCTGACACAAATGGTTTTTTATCACATAGCGATTACCTGAAACTGTCTCACTTTTTCCTTGCAACCATTTCCTTCTAATTCTTCCATCCTAAAGGAAACTGCATTCCCACTTCCCCTGGCTGGGAAGTATCCAGTGCTTGATTGTCTCCAGAACTTGGTGGTGGCTGCATCATTCCTCCACACCTGCCACTGGGAAGCAGCTGCTGCCCTGGCATCTGTTTCCTCTGCTGCATTTTCCTCCTCTGCCTTATCCTGCAGGGATTTAGGGAAAATTGGTGACAGGAGCAAAGCAGGCAGCGTGGGCTTCTGGCTTTGCTTCCCAGCACGGTTCTGCTGTCATGAGCTGTTATTACAACTGATTGTTGTGAGCCTGGAGATTGAGCTGGGGCCTTCTGTGTCCACAGGAACCCAAATCAGGCTTGGGGTTTGAATCCAGCTTCCCTTTCCCAGTGCTCTGTCACAGGGCTGGTGCCAGGGTGCTGTGGGTGAATGTGTTACCCCCTCTTGGTTTCTGCTGGTGGCTTTCACCTGCAGTTCTCAGCTCCCAGATGAGTTCAGGAAAAGTTCTCAGAACTTGGACCGGTTGGATTTCTTCTGATTTAAGCATTTCTGTGTCACATACAGCATTTGGTGTGTCCTTAGATAAACACACCCAACACAAAAACACCAGTCCTTGATCCAAGGCAAAGCTTAAACTTAGATGAAGCCCAAATGGAGCAACATTTAATCAAGTTCCAGGTTAGAAGTGGTTGGGCTCTGCTGCTGCCCTGAGATTCTTCCCAAGCTCCATGTAGAACTGGAGGATCATGAAAGGACAGTGTTTGTTTTCAAAGTAAAAACTAGGATTGGTTTGAAATTCTGCTCTGCCAATAAATATCTTGTTTTTCTGTTGTTCTCAACTTCTTCATTCATCCCAAAGATACCTGGATTACTTCCTTTACATAACAATGCATAGGTGAGTCATTACCAGCTCTTTCATCAGGGCTATGAAGGGCTGAGTTCATTAGGGATAAAATTACTTCTCAGTGTAGCTTTTCATCTGCCTCTGGCATTTTGATGATGGAAATTAAAAATGTACCATTTTCCTCATCCAGATTGGAAAGAGCTGCTTGTGGTTTTTAAGAAATTATCTTGGTAGCACCTCAGAGTCTTTTTATTGAGGTCTAAGCTGGCCACATTTTATGAGTTAACTTTGAAGTGTTTTCCATTTTCTCTTGCCTGCTGTCCTTGGACAAACAGATTTATGGCTTTGGACTCTGAATCCAAAATAACCCAAGTTACAGTCAGAATAAAAAATTTGTACCTTCTTTCATTGTTCAAAGTGGAAGTGGGTATTTTATTTCTGCTATTACTGTTTTTTCTTCTTTTGTTTTCTGTAGAATTGTGTCATTTTTCAGTAGCAGAAATTACTTGTGGCTACCTTCAGCTCAATAAGATGAAATACTGTATATTCTACTAGTCACAGGCTGCCTGCTATTCCGTAAATCCTTGGGAATTCGTTGTCATATCTGAAAATCTCGGATCCTCCTCCTGCTGCATGATGCTACTGGACAGCTTTCTGCTTATTAATTCTCTTCCCATTGGTCTTCTGCTCCAGTTCCTGACTGGATCTGATGCCATTGTCCATTCAGGAGTCTCCTGCAGTTTATTCCCTTCACTGAACTGATGGATCCTCCAGCAGCCAGGATTGGGAAGGGGGGGATATCAGAGGTTAGGTTTATTTCATCCAGCTGTGGTAGGAGCGGGGTGTTCTCCAGGGTCTGAGCAGCACACAGGGACTGAACTGCTTAGAAGTGACCCATGAGTGTGGGTTTCAGTGTTTCCCATGAAGGATGTGCAGTTCTGAACCAATCCAGTTTGATCTCACCACTTCTCTCTCAAATTGACGTTTTGGGAGGGTTTACAATATCGTGAATACGGTTAAAAATGGAAGCTTTGCACATCAAGGGTGGTAACAGTCTTAAAATATCAGCAGCTGGGCTGAGTGAGCAATTTGCACATTGATGCACCAAATGAGCGTGCACCTGCACAATCCTGTGCTCCACCTCTTTCCCTGTCCTCCCCTTTGGAGCTGGCAGGAAATGGGAACTGATGAAAATCTTGCTCTCCAAATACTTCACATTCTAATTGAGTTCAGGTCCCCGCTGGATTCGCTGGAGTGGAGCCAGAAGGAGGAGTGCAGACACCACTCACTAATGATGCAGAGAAACACAGCACACCCCTGGTGTGCTTGAAGGGGTCTTTTTCTGGGTCTAATGTGTTTTAAAAGAAAGGAGGAGTCAAAAATGGTTTTGACAACCATCTTCTGGTTATTTTAACATGGGATTTGCTGGGGATGCTGAGGTGTCTTCATATTTTTGACCACAGCTCTCAGGGTTTTTTGTATGTAGCTATGAGTCTGTTCTAGAACATTTTGGAATTTAAATACCTGGAATAATCATTTGAAATACAGACTCTTTTTTGTTGTTGGCCAGTAGGTACAAACTTTTGGAGTCCAAATTAGAATCCACGCTCAAGAAGTCTTTGGAAATAAAAGAAGAAAAAATTTGGAAATAAAAGAAGAAAAAATTGCTGCTTTGGAGGCTCGTTTGGAAGAATCAACAAATCTAAACCAGCAGCTGCGTCAGGAACTGAAAACAGTAAGGAAAAGGGTGTTTCTCTATAATGTTAATGTTTTCTGCACTTTTTGGGTAAGACAGCAAAAAATGGGCATTATTCAGGTGATGGAAAGCAGGACAAAGGTGTGATGGGTAAGACAGCAAAAAATGGGCATTATTCAGGTGATGGAAAGCAGGACAAAGGTGTGAATGCTTTTAAGACTGTGTTGAAATCACATGAAAAGTTGTGCTTATTCACAGGCTGTGAAAACGTCAGCTGGATAAATAACCTGGAGTTGATTTGATTTGGGATATCATTTCTAGTTACATTTTCTGGCCTACCTTGAGCAGCCTGAGTAGATTGGTTAAAAAAAGGAAATTCTATCACCTTGGTTGTAGAATTTTAGTATAAAAGAGGGGGTATACGGTTAAAAATGCTGAAATAAAATAGAAAATAGAGGCCTGCTGTTTGTTGGGGTTAAACTGTCCATATCCATGAATAATTGGTATATATTATTTTTTATTTATTTATTGAATTATTGTTTTTTAAATTATTATTAATAAATAATCTCCCCAAACATGTACAAAAAACAAATTTACAAATACAGTAACAGCGCTTCCTGTTCTTTGAGAAGGGGCATGATCTGGTAATCAATTAATAAATTTAATACAAAATGGAAAATTCTAACCTAACCTAAGTTGTCCTAAATAATTCCAGGTAAAGAAGAACTATGAAGCTCTCAAGCAAAGGCAAGAAGAGGAAAGGATGGTTCAGAATTCTCCTCCAAGAAGTGGAGAAGAAAATCAGTCTGTCAATAAGTGGGAGAAAGAAAATCAGGAGACTACTAGAGAATTATTGAAAGTTAAAGATAGATTAATCGAGGTGGAGAGGAATGTAAGATGTGTTTTAAATACATATTTAAATCTTAAATGTGATTCTGGTGGTAATTATTTGTGGTGAGCTGTTCCAGTGATGCAAATGAGGGTGCTGTTAAGACACTTTAATTTATCACCTCGTTTCCATCCCAGGCAGAATCTGAATTAAATACAGTGCATGTAGCAGCTGGATTCTGCTCTGTGGGATGCCATAAAGCACTTGACAGGCATTTAAAAAGGAAATGTGAAAACCTGAATTTGCCCTTTTGAATCCACAGCTCTCTCTCAAATCCCTGTTATATAATCTCTATTTCCAGCAATTCTGGAGATTCCTCTCCTGTTTCTCCACAGGTGCAACATCCCTTACCTGTTTTTCCAGTGATAAATCCCTCCAAAGTGTGTTTGTTCTCCAGTGTTATCCCACCCCGTAAATCTCTGCACAGTCCTGCTGCTTTCTGTGGTCTAGGAAACACTTTTGGTTTATCTTGGAGTTCCTGGAGCAGCTGTGAGCTGAGGTTTTGTGTGGTTTTAACCCCCCAGAACGCGACGCTGCAGGCGGAGAAGCAGGCGCTGAAAACGCAGCTCAAGCAGCTGGAGACACAGAACAACAACCTGCAGGCCCAGATCCTGGCCCTGCAGAGACAGACTGTGTCCCTGCAGGAGCAAAACACAACTCTGCAAACTCAGAATGCCAAGCTGCAGGTAATGCTGCCTTAGTTTGCTTTCAAAAATAAAACCAAAGGGTTTTTTTTCCAAAGGAAAACTTAAAATACATAGTTATTGTTAACTTTAAAATCACGTTTGGCTTCCCAGAGAGACATGGGAAGGAAGGTGATGTGAAAGTAATCTACACTCAGCAGATTATAAACACACAAATAACAGTGTGTTTGCTGATGAATAATTGCATTTTTAGAAATTTGTTTTAGTCCTTTGTCCAGTGTAAAATCTTGACTTTATACTTAGAAGTAGAAAAGAGTGTCTTACCCAGTCTTCCAACATTATTTGTGTTTTTTGCTTGTGTTTATACATCTAAATTAGGTCAGGGAAGTAATGTGTCCAGCAGTATTCTAAAAAATTTTATCTATTTTTATAAATATCTAAAAAAATAAAAGTAAAGCCATGCCCAAGAGGAAAATGAAGATACTTAAATACAGAAGATGTAAAAAAACAAAAAGAAAATGCAAAGGTACTTACATATGTGGAGACCTGAATTTAAATAATTGAGAGGCAGTAAAAAAGGTAATGTGTGACCATGGAAATTATAAAAATGGTTCTCCCCAGAGTCTTTGCAGCTCTTCTGGCCAAAATTCAGATGTTGCCCTTATAGTTTAATGAGGTTATTAAATATATCTCTTTTTTCTTTAAACATAAAATATTCTTGTTAGTGGAATTAATGCTTTTTGGAGTTCTGAGAATCAAAACTCCTTCAAGAGGAGATGAAAACCCCACAATGCAGCAGAAATAGTAAAAAGTGTCAGGAAGGATGGAGGGCTGATGGAAATCAAGATGTCAGGGACTGTTAAAATGAAACAAATAATGCATTTGGTGGATGCCTGGAGTCTCCTCCTGGCCCTTCCTGGAAAGCAGAATGTTGTTGTTCCATGGATGCACTTTCTGCTGCCACGTTGAAATGTCATTAGTGCACAGCACTCCAGTAGAACAGGACATTGGTGCACACCCTGGGCCTCCTCTGGTTGTTACAAACCAGTGGGTATGGCATGGAAATATCCCATTTAACCAGCTGAGAGGGGATTGCTGGGATTCAGAGCTCTCAGAGCACTTTGTAATTCCCTTCATCAAAAACCCACAGGAGTATCTGTGAAGTTCCTTTTTTGCCTCATGCCCAGCAGCACAGGCCTTTTCTCTCTGGCAGGACAATTCTCCATGAATTGCAGATCCAAATATGTTCAGGAAAATCAAAGTGATGAGCTGTTGGCTAAATCCGAAGTGCAGACTGAGCTGCTCTACCTGGACTGTGCCAAAACTGTTCCTGGGCAGCTCATTGTTCCCTTCCTCCTGATAGCCATAAGGAGCAGCCAAGGGAAAGCATGTCTGAAAGGGTAACTGGGAATTCTGACCTAACCAAACTCAGGATTCAGCCTGGGAAGTTTCCCAGCACACCCATGCCATCAGACATGACTTCATTTCCAGTGAAGGATTCAGCTTTCTCATCTCTCACAAAGAGCACTGCAGTTCCAGCAGGAAGGGATTTGTTCCCTGGTAACAGCGGGAACTGGAGTGAGAGATGGAATTTTTTTTCCTTAATAGATACCCCGAGGGTATTAGAAAGCTCAGTAGTTTGTGGTTTTCATCTCTTGAACAGGAAAGAGAAGGAAGCTGGTACAGATCAGGTGACAAGCACCTATTCTTCAAGATACCTCATCTAACATTAAAGGCTTTTGTGCATTAATCCACATTAATGCTGTTCTGGGGCATTCGTTTGGTGCTGTTCCACAAAAGAGCACAGAAAAGAACATGGCTAGTTCCTTCAGGTGCTGTTATTTGTCTCCCTCTCTCTGTTAAATGGATGCTCCTGTTGGAACTCTCATCGTGAAGGAATGCGTGCATACCATGAAAATTTCATGCTGACAATACACAATTTTTAAAAAAATGAATCTCCATGTCAGTGTGAAAGTTCCTTTTATTTTAGTCATGTCACAGATTTGGCTTTTATTAGGATCACTGGTGATCCATTTCTCCAAGGTATCTTGGTGCTAGAGGAAAATGGCCCTGTCAGCAAGATAACATTTTAACAGATGTTGAAAGGTAAATAAGAATTCGATCCATCCCTGTCAATTTAATCACATACGTCAATGCTTTCTGCTAAAAAATACTCTTGGAACATTTTGAATTGGAGCTGTCTCCTGGGATATAAGCAGAGGTTGTCAGTGGAACAACCAGAAGGGTTAAACCCAAGAAATCTTAAAGTGGGAGGTAAAATAACCCAGACTGCACAACATATGGGGACTCTGCACTCAAGATTAAGCCTGTAATTTTTTTTCCTCTGCTGTAAGTACCAGACTTCTTCTAGAATTTCTTTTTATTTTACTGTCTATCTGTCCAACAGCAAGTGGGGCTCAAACATTATTTCTTATGGGCTTGTCCTTGTTCTTTTCAGAGAACTGAAAACAAAACATCTGTCAATATTTGTGTCCTTCTTAAGAATAAAAGGAATTTGTGTTTATTCATGTGTAGGTGCAACTTCCAGATGCAAAGCAAGGGAGATAACAGAGCAAATTGGTGAAAATAAGCTGGTGCTGACCTAGGCAGAAAACAGATTTATTCTCTTTCAGTAGTTAGATGATGAGCCAAGTCACTTTGGGAGGTTCTCTTGACCCTGTGTTTCTCAATCCTCACCTCTGTGCACGGATTCCCCGCTGTCTGTGGCTGCAGGTGGAGAACTCCACGCTCAACTCCCAGAGCACGTCCCTGATGAACCAGAACGCGCAGCTGCTGATCCAGCAGTCGGCCCTGGAGAACGAGAACGAGGCGGTGCTGAAGGAGCGCGAGGACCTGAAGGGGCTCTACGAGGCTCTGCTCAAGGACCACGAGCGCCTGGAGCAGCTGCACGAGCGCCAGGCCGCCGAGTACGAGTCGCTCATCGCCAAGCACGGCAGCCTCAAGTCCGCGCACAAAAACCTGGAGGTGGAGCACAAGGACTTGGAGGACAGGTAAACACTCAGGAAAAGGAGTCTGCCATTCAGCAGGAATCGCTCTCTAATAAAGTGATAGAATGAATAAAATCATCCTCACTTAATCACTAAGATTTGAAACTTCAACAGAGGCCATTTCACCAAAATTCCTTTTTTTTTTTTTGTCATTCCCCAAAAGGAAGTGTAAATGCTGTCTTTGCAGGTACAATCAGTTGCTGAAACAGAAAGTGCAGCTGGAAGAACTGGAGAAGGTTCTCAAGACAGAGCAGGATAAAATGCTGCAGCAAAGTGAGAAACATGAAACTGTGGCAGCAGAATATAAAAAACTTCGGGATGAAAATGAAAGGTAAAGAGAATTCTGGCACCTGAGCACCTGCCAGTGCAGCCTGAACAAGTGGTGTGTTCTTCCCAGTTCTTTGACACCTGATGCTGCTATTCCAAATACTCATGATCCCACAAAAACAATCATTATATCCTGAAGGAATAATATAAAATTATTATATATATATAAAAAATATAATATAACGTGGGACAAGGGGAGCTCAGGAATGGGTATGTGTAACCTCCACCTGCTTAAGTTTGGGCCATTCCTATTTTGTGTTGGCAAGAAATCCTGGCTGTTCTGTAAGAATCTTTTATTCTGAAAAGTGAAATCTTAAAACTAATCATGATGTAGAGGTGCTGCTTTGTGTTTAAATATAGAGAGAACAGTGCTTGGCTCAAAGGCAGCACACATTCCTAGGAAAATTAGGCTGGGATAACTTACAGTATGTGACAGTAAGGAATTTCTATATGTATTTTATGGAGTAGTTGGAAATTTCATGTTTCAGAGGGAGTGTGGGTAACAGATTCATTTCCAGCACTCTTTGATGGTGTCTTTGCATCCCAGGCTCACTCACACATACAATCAGCTCCTGAGGGAGAATGAAGTGCTCCAAACTGACCACAAGAATCTGAAAACATTATTGAACAATTCCAAACTGGAACAAACACGGTTGGAAGCTGAGTTTTCCAAACTCAAAGAACAGTACCAGCAATTGGATATTACATCAACAAAGCTAAATAATCAGTGTGAGGTATGTGGGAATTCTGCTGTTTGTAATGGCTGGAATCATTGGAATATTTTTATAACTGGATTTATAGGTTCGTATAAATAATAATAATGCTGGAGTATCAGTTATTGCTAGATAATGAATTGAATCCAAAGACTAATTAATTTACCTGCTGTACAGGCAATACACAATTTCAGGCTCATATAAGGGAAACTGATTTAAATTATTTAAAGCATCAAAGAGGCTTTTATCATTTGATTTGTGATTTAATTTTGAGTTTGATTTGACTCTCAGAATCCCTCTGTAGACTTCAGTTTTCGTGATAATCTCACGATCTGTGTGTGAAATGCACTCACATATAAATGCATGGGCAATTTAATCTGTTTTAACAGCTGCTCAGCCAACTTAAAGGAAACCTGGAGGAGGAGAACAGACACCTGCTGGATCAAATCCAGACCTTAATGCTGCAGAACAGGACATTACTGGAGCAGAACATGGAAAGCAAGGATCTCTTTCACGTAGAGCAAAGGCAGTACATGTGAGTTGTGAAAACAAATCACTGTGATTAGGACAATGCCACCAATACCTGCATTTTTAAAACAGAGCTTCTGTTACATAAAGAACTTAACAAATGTGCTGCTTCTGAAATGTTTCTCTGTAAAATAAGAATTTCAATGATAAATGATAAAGCAGTTAACTCAAAATATGAGCTTTATATTTGTGGTTCTAAAGGATCAGTGCAACTGTGTTCGTTCCTGATGATGGAAGTGAGGAATAAAAATGATATTTATTCCTCATTCTGCTACTGGCAAAGTTTAGATTTGTAATCACTGTACTTGCAGATTGATACATTCATACATGAATCTACATACATAGTAGATTAATTTGTAGATTTGTAATCTAAATTTCTTTGGTGGACTTGAGAGAAGAGAAAATGTGTTTATCTAAACGATAGAGCACTTTATTTAGGAAGGAGGAATATGTAATAAAGGCAAGTGGAATTTTATTCCATGTTATGTCATGAAGTCAAGCCTAAGGCTGATTGTTTGCTGTATCTCTTGCTTTTTCAATGAGAAACCAGTGTTATGTAAGAATTCCTCACAAAACGTGCCAGTTTTCAGCAGATTCCCAGAGGGACGTGCTGCCCACGCACCCTGTATACGTTTTTGAAGCATAAATTATCATTAATTTCTGTTTGCAGTGACAAACTGAATGAACTGAGGCGGCAGAAGGAGAAACTGGAGGAGAAGATAATGGATCAGTATAAATTTTACGAGCCATCTCCACCGAGAAGGTACTGATGAACATGATGTAAAATGAAACACAGCTCTGAGGCACGGCAGACCTGTTCTGTTCCCACTGAAAATCGAGATTGCGTTACGTTTGTGGGATCAGAATCACGTCTGCATCTTACATAAAAAATTAGGAGATTCTGCAGGCCTAAGCAACATGTTATAAATGCAGTGAATGTGTTATTGATGACAGAAGGGGCAACTGGATCACCCTGAAGATGAGGAAGCTGATCAAGTCCAAGAAGGACGGGAACCGCGAGCGCCTCAAGTCGGTGACGCTGACGCCCACGCGCTCCGAGTCCAGCGAGGGATTCCTGCAGCTGCCCCACCAGGACAGCCAGGACAGCTCCTCCGTGGGCTCCAACTCCCTGGAGGATGGGCAGACCCTGGGCACCAAAAAGAGTAGTAGTGAGTACTGCAAACCACTTCATTCCGTGAATAAACCTTGGCTAAGCGTTGGAAAAGACTGTGTGTTGTGGAGGATTTGTGAAGATCATTTCTGAGGCTGTAGAAATGAAGCCTGAATTAATTTATTAAGGACAGAATGTCTTGCACCTCCCTGGAGTTTTTGGGCAGAACTAGTTTTGGGCATTTCTATATCTCAAAATGCAAGTGTTAAAATGCACTCACAGCGCCTGGGTAAGTGAAGCAGGCACTGGTACTGGGTCAGATGAGCAGGATTTGGGATGGAATGTCAGGTGTCACCACAAAGACCCTATTTGTTTCTCCCTCTTGTCCCAGCATGACTCTTTCCCCTTGTCTTGGAGGTGTTTTCCAAGCTGTGACTGTGCTGACATCCTTGAGTTGCTAAAAACGCCTTCTGTATGAAGGTGTTCCCCCAGCATCTCACAAAACCAACGATGAAATTTGGATATGCAGCAGGAAGTGTTAATGTAGAAACACGACCTGTTAAAAATACAGAAACTGTTACTGATCCTAAAACTGGAATGAGCTGGTAAAGAGGGAGAATGAGAAGTGTGATTAGATAGACTATTCCAGGCACAATTTGCTGACCTTGAAAGATTTGATAGCTCATCCCATTAGGGTGCCTATGATATTTAAGGCCAGATTCTGTTTATTATTATTTATTATCGATGTTTTTTGTTCTCCACTCTCGGCATGAATCATAAACTGCCCAGTTTTTCACAACTTGAGAGATAATTACAGCCAAGTTATCAGGATGTAACGGTTCTATTTAATAACTATGCACCAAAAGCATTTTGGCTGTGCATGTAAAAGCATCAGAATCCACGTGCATTAACAGTCACTTCCAATCTTTGCGCTACTGCTTTTAAATTTAATGTATTGGGTTTCAAAAGACAGCAGGTCTGGGGTTTGTGCCAGCTGTGAATTATTGCAGCCATTATGATGTGGTTTTTTTTTCCTCTGTGCTTCTTGCAGAAGCTTAGTCAAAGTTAAAAACATCCCAAAAAATGCTATTTCAGGGGAAGTTAAAATCGGATCTGGATTTTTTTAATAACTGAAGAGAATAGATGGAGGGTACATTTTAGCACTTTTGTTACTAACTTTATCCCTTTGGGGAGCTCAGCCTTTTTCAGCGGAAGCTTCCAAACAGGTATTTTACACTTTTTTAAAAAGCAACTGTTGCTTTTACATCCAAACCGTGAGTGGTGTGGGACTGGGGAGTGACTGAAGCCGTGCTGGATGTGTGTCAGTGGTGTCAGAGAGTGTGCACGCTGTGGTTCAGCCCATCTGCATCCGTGTCAGCAATGTCATGTCCTGGAAGGGCTTTTTCTGTGACAGTTTTCTTTGCATGATCCTTGGGACCTTGTAGTGTGCAGTTACCCTCCTGGGGAGCCACGGCTGCAGTTACGGTGGCTGAGCCTCAAAAGAGGTTTGAAAGCTGTTCAGACCTCATTAATTTTCTACTCCATGGACCTTGTTCATGTTCCCCTTAATCCCAGTGTATTTATCCACAAACTGGAAGGGCTGATCTAATTCCGGATCCCAACCTTCCTCCATTACACACGTCGCCGTGGAAACCACAGTTTTGGAGAGAATCTGGATGCGTTTTGTGCCAGCTCAGCTCTGAGACAGAGATCTGAGACAGTTTGTGCCTCCCAGAGCAGAGAGGATATCTCAGTGTGACGAGTGCTGGTGATGGTGCACATTTTGCAGTCTATTTCTTCCGCTCCTAGAGTGACTGTAAGTCCTAAATCCCGGGATTTGGGGTCCTTTCTTTTCCGTGGGAAGCAGTTTGGCAGTGGCAGCTTCCACTGGAGCTCCAGGAGGGAGCAAACGCATGAGCGCCACCTGCGTGAGCCACTGCTCAGGTGCTGGAGCCCTCTGTGCTGGCTGAAGGCAGCTCTGGCTCTGGAGGAGTTCTGTGCCACCCTGACCTCCAGCATCTGGGGAAGGAAGGAGCTGCTTCCAGCGGGAGCTGCCGAGCTGGAATGTCCTGCGTGTCCTTGAGGAGGCAGGAGAAGGCAGCTCACCTTCCCTGGCACAAACCAGCAAGGTTCTGAGCTGGAGGACTGAGTATCTGTCAGAGATCTGCAGGATACACAGGGCTCACACTCCCCATCCCTGTCAGAGATACTGAGTTCAAAACACAGGGCTCACACTCCCCATCCCTGTCAGAGATACTGAGTTCAAAACACAGGGCTCACACTCCCCATCCCTGTCAGAGATACTGATTTCAAAAGGGTTTGCTGGGTGTGACATCTGTAGTTTTCCCTCTTTTCTGGGTGGTGATGGAGATCGTGTTTTCCCAACACAGGCCACTCATTCATGTAAATGTTTCCAGGAGAGCTCTTATCTCCCTGGGAAAGGTGATCTTGGCACAAAAGTCAGGTTACCCTGTTCTCAGAGAGCACCAATTGAGGTCTCACAGTGTGGCCAGAGCCTGTGTCTGATCCCTGTGGGAAGGAGGGGGTGCCTGGAGGGCTTTTGCTGTCCCAGCACGGGTTGATCCTGCAGGAGGTGTGTGCTCCTGACTGGACACCTTGGCTTTTCCTGCCTGCTGGAGGTACAGCCTCCTTCTGCCCAGGTGCTGCCCACAAATGATCATTGATCTCCCGTAATGATCCGGTGAGTGCCTCAGAGCTTTTCCTCTGGATGGAGCCATTCTGAGCTTTCCCAGAGAAAACCCAAGGCAGGCAGAGGGGATTTTTGGTTTCTGTGGAGAAATACAGATACCCTTTGCTTCCACTTTAGCCATTTCATGAGATCAACAAATTCCCAAGGAATTAGGGCTGTTAGTGAACAGTCATCTCTACAAGGAACACCAGTAGCAGGCACACCACGTCACAGAGGGAATAAAAGGAGGGCTCTGCTCTCCATTTTCCAATGCCGGGGCATTTTAAAGATTTCTGCCTCCTATTTTCTTCTGTGCATGAACAAAACAATGTGAGGATTTGAACAGAGAATTCCCCAGAGGATTTCAGGCAAGCAGGAGAGTTACAAAGTGGGATCTTTCCTGCTCAGTTGAGGAATTCTGCAATACTCGCCATTCATTCTCAGAAAGCAAGAAGGTGTTCATGGAATACTGAAAAGAAAAAGAATAGCTGATTTCTGCTGTAGCTCCACCATCCCACTATTAATTACTATTATTGCTATTCCAGGACATTTCCTGAGGTGAATTCTGTGCAGATCCTACTGACATGGTTTCCCCTCCAAGCATTTTGCCTTTCTGATGCAGGATTTCCAGGACATCAGTGGTTGCAGAGGAGTTTCCTGGTGGGCACAGTTGCTGAGAGCCATAAATCAGCCCTTTTGGAGGGGATCTTTGTTACTGGACAGGAAGGACAGATGACTCAAATGCTTCTTGAGCATCCTCTGGTTACTTTTTCATAAGATTAAGGAGTTTTTAGTGAAGAGAAGTCAGTTACCTTCCGTAAAGGATTACAGAGGGATGAGTTATTTTTTATGTAAAGGATTATAGAAGTTGCAGAAGAAATTTAATTTTTTTTTTTCTGTGTCATCTTGATGACAAAAAGTAGAAACAGAACAGAATGACCTGTGTGGTGAGATTGGTTTGTGAACCTGTTCCTGTGGGTGCAGGCACAGGAAGAGCTGACAGGAGGAATAGGGAATATTTCAGTGCCAGGGTAGCTCATGTGCACTTGTAAATGGTATATATGATATATATGCACTGCTCTGTACACAGAACTGCTGTGTGCCAGGCTGGGGGAGCAGGGCACACCTCCCAAAAGGGGCTGCAGAGACAAACCAGGCAGAGCATGGTCTGGCAGACCTCTGCAGAAACCAGAGCTGCTGCCATCTCTGCAGGAATCACCACTCTGGGAATTCCATCCCGTGTCCCCTTCTGGATCTTTCCATGGTGGCTCCTGTGCCTGGCATCAGCCCCCAGACTTACCCAAGGCAGGTCAGCAGTTCCTGATGCAGAGTTCCTGACTCCAAGGACAAGATTAACTCATGACTTCCCCCTCCTCCCTCTTTTAATACTATTTGTAATTTTAACTCTGTAATTCTCCTGGTAGACTTTAACTCAGTTTTCCTTGGGCCCTCCCAAAACGTTACAGCAACACTCACATTTGGATTTTCTTTTGCTGTTTTGGTTTTTTTTTTCCTTTGGTGTTTTTTTGAGCTAAAATATTTGCACATTTGAAACATATTAAAATTAGTATTTTGCCAAAATAATGCCCACAAATTCCATTGATCCTTGCAGGTTTTCTATGAGACAGTAGATGACCAAAGTTATTACTGAGCACAAAATCAAAGACCTGAAGAATGATAAAAGACTGTGTCCTCTTAGATGTGCAGGCAAAGCATCACAGAACTTATTAAGCCCCAAAAATTAAGGATGTGAACATATTTTAACATAGAAATTGTACTTAGAGTTGCTTTCATTGCCAGCTTTTTTTGCTTCACATTTTTCTTTATGTTCAAAAACAATGTTATTTTTCACAGTAATAATTAGATAGTGGTCAATTCCTGTAATCCCCTGCAAAGAAGTTACATTTATTTTTTTTTCAAGAGCTTCAGACTGTATTACCCTCTGCACTGTAATTTTCAGTGCATTTCTGAGTTACCGTGGAAGTTTTCCTAGCGCAGTTTTCCTGTTCCAGTGTACTTCCATATTTCATGGTCACCCAGAAGCAGGAGGATGATAGCTTTTAGCATAGCATACCTAGCTTAAACTCAAACATTCATTTCTGTCCTTAGTTTCAACATTTAACTTCCATCTGTTCTTCTCCCTTTTTTTCTTTCATTTCCCTGTTTCCGTTTTTCCTCATGCTATGACATAAAAGTGGGTGCACTGAAAAGACTGCCCTTTTTGAGGAACAGACCGAAGGAAAAAGACAAAATGAAGGCCTTCTACCGTCGCTCCATGTGTAAGACTTTATGACAGTTCAGCTTCTTCTCAATGGCTACACTGGCTTCCGTTACTAATTTTTCACTAACCTCTCCCTGGACTGCGCTCTATTTTTCCTCCTCTTTTGCAATGTGCAAGTCCTGCTACGGTACAAGGAGCTGGAGCTTTTTTACTTTTTACCCTCCCCACCCCACCCCCCTTTTTTATTTTTACTTTTTAAGAAACTTTGGCACTGAATACTTTATGCCTGTGCACACACACGTAGCCACACGTTCCCATGCACACGTGTATAATCTATTCAGTGCCTCGTGACTGCATATATTTGTATACATGGCTGTCTATATACACATGGCCCCATGTGTATATGAATTTACAGTGCACTGTGTTAACGGAAATGGTTCTAAAGGACACCTTTCATAAGCCTTTTGTTCAGAAGTCACTGTAATTTCTTTTTTTTTGTTGTTGTTTAAAGCGAGTGTAGGAGATTGTGCGAGGCTCTCTGGTGGTCTGTCACTCTGCGAGTGTTCATCAGTTCTCGTTGCCAGAATGCTGCATTGATTTCTTTTGTTTCGTTTTATTTTCTAATGAGGGGTGGAGTGTTTTCTCGAGTTTGGGGAAGTGAAGGTGAATATCATCAGATGTGGTATTTTTCAGATCCTCTCTCTGTTGCTCTGTAAACCCCAGTGTGCCTGCAGTAACCTGCACTGTACAAGGATCCCGTGTGAGCGCTGGCACTCCGTTGTATGAGCACCCGTGCCCGTTTTGTCCCCGCTCATCCCATTTTCTCACGGCAAGCAGCTGGCAGAGCCTCTAACAGCACCTGGCATGGCATGGCGATCCCTGAGCAGCCTGTTTTGAGCAACACCTCCCTGGGCTCAGCAGCCTGAGCCTCCTCCCTCCCTCTGTCCCGGTTGCATGCGGTACCCGGGGTGCGGTTTGCTCCTGCTGGCTGCCTGCGGGCGCTTTAATGCTTAGAAAACTGTCCGACCTTTGCAATGCAGATTAACAACCCACCAGGTACGTTGCCCTCGCTGATCATTTGCTTTCATTTGCATCCCAGCCATGAATGACCTGGTGCAGTCCATGGTCCTGGCAGGAGGACAATGGACAGGTAGTTCTGAGCATCTGGAGGGTCCTGATGATATATCCACGGGTAAAAGGAGGAAGGAATTGGGAGCTATGGCCTTCTCTACTACAGCTATCAACTTTGCCACTGTCAACTCCTCCACAGGCTTCAGATCCAAGCAGTTGCTAAATAATAAAGGTATAGGTAGAAGCTTTTTGCACCGTGATGTAACTGTGTAAATATTGGTTTGACTTAATGTTTTTAAGTTTTTCAATCTTAACAATTGAGTTGCAGTGCTAAGATAATGAACTGGCTTAATAACTGCAGTTATAAAATGTTTCAAGGTTTTTCCTGCAGAATGTTTCCTAAGTAAAAATGGATTGCTTTGAAAAATATTTTAATTTTTATCAATGATAAGTATTTTAATAATCTTTCCGCTTTATTTTATTTTACATCTTCCTTTATGTCTCTGTGTGTAGATACTACATCCTTTGAAGATGTAAGTCCACAAGGTATTAGTGATGATTCTAGTACAGGATCGAGAGTTCATGGTAAGATGTGAGCTTTAATTAAATGAATTAAGGATATATGATGTGAATGTTAATGAATTTGTGAAAATACAGTGAATGGCATCATTGCAATGAGCATGCTCTCTCTGATTTTCATATCTCTCCAACGTACTGTATCATTTCTTCAGATTCTCCTTTCTCTCTTAACTACTACATCAGACAGATGTTCTGTATCTCTGGTAGAAAGTATTTGTGAAGTGCATCTGAACAGGATGAAAACATTTTCCCTTTTAGTGGGAAAATGTTTGAACTTCTATTTGGAGTTAATAGTAAATAAAGGAAGTTAGCGTTTCGGTCCTAAAAAAAATCAAATCCAAATCTGGTGTGAGTTTTCAATGCTTATTGTTCAGTGAACCCCAAATTTGCCATGTGCTGTAGTTTACAAAATCATTACGTGTTCCTTCAAGCAAAGCTTTGAAGTGAAAAATAGTCTATTAATAGAAGTGAAGTTTTAACTGTACTGTAAACATTTACAATGAGTACGAGCAGCAAACATTTTTGAGGCTACTAACAGTGCATTTCCCTTGTATTGGCTTAGGAGTACAGGACTTTATCTGTGCAGATGCTCTTGCTCCTCCTGTCCGTGGCATTCCAGCCCTGTGCAGGGTTCCCTGTCAGATCTGTTGTAAGTGACCTGACCACAGCAGCCCCTGCATGCCCCTGTCTGAGCCCTGCTTCCTCACTGAGCACTCAGTTTCAATTCTAAACTACACTCTTTCTCTTTTCCTCTCCTCTGTACCTCGCTATTCCTCTAGTGCCCTTTTCCAAAGTGTCCTCTTGGACCGCCTGGAAATTCCTTCGCTTTCTGATCTGTAAGAAACCACTTTGTTCCCACGGGCATGCTCTGCCTGGGAGGTCGTGCATGATCCTCTGAGCATTCTGTCAGCAGAATGTCAAGGTGCCGTGTCCTCTGCTAAAATGTTGTTCATCACAGTGTCTCCTAATTTTCCATTCAGCTTCCAGACCAGCCAGCCTTGATAGTGGCAGGACATCCACTAGCAATAGCAATAACAATGCTTCACTCCATGAAGTCAAAGGTATGCTGGGGGTGAATTCACATCGGTGCTTCATTTCCATTCTTTTCTCTCTAAGATCATCTATAGAGGTTCAAAAACCCCCACAACCAAAAAAACTCCCACTGCACAGCACAACATGTGCTTCCTTGAGTGTTTCACAGCCTTCATTCCCCAAATTAGAAGCACAGGTATTTTATGGTTTTAATAAATATTAAAAGAGCGGTGTTAGTTTTTAAGTTTCCATCTATTTTAAACCAAACCTAACCCAGATAACATTATTACAAAATAAGAATTCCCCCCCAAATTACTTTAAAAGCTTTTCAAGCTGAGAAATTGCTCCTTTTTTTTATTTTTTTTCTTCTCCAAGCATCCTCCTGCACTGCACTACCGCTGTGAGCTGTGTGCTGTACAACTGCACAAAATGGCACATGTGATTCATGCTAGAAACCCTTGTATTTGGTTTTAATAGATTATTAACATCCTTGGATTTGTCAGGATTCTCTAAACTTGATGTATGAAGAACTCTGGTATATTTTTGTATCTCGTGGCTTTTTTAGCTGGAGGCTGTTGTACAGACCAGACTAGAGCACTGCCAGCTCGAGACTTTATTTAATACTCATGGCTTGCATCTCTTAAATGGTGTCTGCTTGTTTGGAAATTTAGGAATGAATGCTAGCTGAATATTTCTAATAGTTAATTTTATATCTGTTACATTGCTCCTTTCTGTACAAGATCCCGTGAGGTCCTCCTCACCCCCATGTCTATACAGGATTAGGCATTTCCACCAATTTATCTTGGTTCAAATTTCATTTCATTTCTTAGGAGTGACATGAAGCTGGAAATACTTGATTATCCATCAGTATTTTTGAAGCAATTCACAGTTACTGACAAATAAAATGAAGTGGTGTTGTGGAATTTATTTTACATCTGACACCACGTGCTTCCTTCAGCTGTACAAACTAGGAAGGAACAGCAGGAATTGTTGGAGAAGCATTCCTGAGTAGCTCTTGTTGGAGAAAAGATTTTATTTCTGCTCAGTTCTTTGTATTTCCTTTAACATTTAATTACCCTGTGCCTCCCAGGGATGCTGAACAAGAGTGGAGAGGTCTCTTTAGCCTCTTGGAGTATTATGTAGGTGGAGGCCCAGATTATAAGTGAAAGGTAGATTTTATTAGGAAAAAAAATCTTGCCATGTTTGAAGAGCTGCAAAAGGTAAGTCAGGGGAGTGCAATTTCACAGAGTAAAAAATAACAGCTGGACTTTCTTTTTTTAAGTCCTTTAAATAGAATGAATGTTACCTGAATCTGGTAACATTGCAGATTTGAGTGGGGTTATACAGGTGTACAGCTTTCTGGTGTATTTCTAATGGAAACACTGCCTTCCCCCCAAAAGCAGGTGCAGTGAACAGCCAGAGCAGGCCCCAGAGCCACAGCAGTGGGGAGTTCAGCCTGCTCCACGAGCACGAGGCCTGGTCCAGCAGCAGCAGCAGCCCCATCCAGTACCTGAAGGGACACACCAGGTCCAGCCCCGTGCTCCAGCACAGGACGCCCGAGGCGCCGGAGAGTCGCGGCAAACAGACCAAAACGGGCTCCCCTGGCAGTGAAGTTGTCACCCTGCAGCAGTTCCTGGAGGAGAGCAACAAGAGTAACTCCAGTGAGGTCAGTAAAGAGTATTTAACCTACTCAGTGCCCCATCCGAGGCACAGTGAGTAGAATTCCTGAAAGATTTCTTGGAACTGTCACACCTGCATTGAGAGGTCACAGGCACCATCTCCTGATGCACTCTCCAATTCCACCAGCAGGAAATCTGTGGAATTTTGCAGCTTGGCCCTCTGTGGTCCCTGGGTGTAGGGAAAAGTCAACCTGTACTGCCAAAGCTGTCGGGTGTGGGACACCAGGGCTCACTCCTCTTCTTCCACTCCAGCAGCAGCTGCTGTCACATCTGTCCTGCATCAACAGCAAGGAAAATGTGTGATTTCATTCCCTGAGGAGACCCTTGTCTGCTTCAGTTTCATCTTCTTAACAGTACTGGGAAACAAAAAGTGACCTTGGAGCTTATTGAAATCTGAGAGGAGTAAGGTGAAGGGGATGTTTCTTTAAATCAGTGACAGTTGCTTAGAAGCCCCAAATCACCTCATCTCTGCTGGTATTCCAGGTTCTGCATCCCAGGTCCTTCAGCTCCGCCCAAACTCCTGTAGGATATCCTGCTGTAGGATAAAGCCAGCCAGTCACTGTGACTGGGGCCTCTCAGGAGTGAGGATCCAGGCTTGTTTGGGACAGGTGACACATCTTCTGGAGAAGATTCTGCATTTTTTGGTTAGATACTTAAAATGGCTCTCACCCACGGTCTCCCTGAGCAGGATTTTTGGAGTTTAAGCACTAGACAGTACTCTACTGGCAATAGGAAATAAAAAACCCTGCTTAAGTCATCAAGGCAGGTCCACTGCTGTTCACAAACCCCAGAATCCTCTTCATAGCCTCACAGACCCATTCTGGGTGGAAGGGTATTCAAAGGGTTTCTTTCCAGTCTTCTGCCAGAGCATTTCCCTAATGCCTTTAGCTGAATTCTTCCTCAGTTGTCTCTGGTGCCATCTTGAAAACTGCTACAGTCTTTCTTCACTGGGTGTGAATATTATTCACCTAAACTATTTTTTTTGTAAACTGTACAGAAAACTCCTAAGTCTGTATCATAAATGTTTGATACTGCTTTGAGAGCCGAGAAATTAAAACCCGAATCTCGGTAAAATTATTTTTCATTTATGTCCACAAAAATCTCAGAAGAAAAGATAAAAATTGCAGTTTCGAAACTTATATTTTCTGTTTTCACAGATGAAATCTGCAAGCGAAGAGAACCTTTTAGATGAAGTGATGAGAAGCTTGTCGGAGTCTGCGGAGCTGGCAGGGAGGGAGAAGCTCCGAAAGCAGCCAGCGGCTGGCTGTGGCATCGTGAGATCCCTGAGTGTCAGGAACACGGTTGATTTCTCAGATGGACGATCCCTCAAACCAGAACAGCTGGTAAGGCCCAGCCTCCGGAAGAACGAAGATCTCTACTTCAGTAGCTCTCCAATCAAATTCACCCCCGGCGCCCAGGGCAAGGCCCGGTCCGTGAAAGAAAAGATCCAAGCGACTGTGACCCAGCGACAATCCAGGGACTGCAACCCCTACGCCACCTTACCTCGTGCCAGCAGCGTCATTTCCACGGCAGAAGGAACCACCCGAAGGACAAGCATCCATGATTTTTTGTCTAAGGACAGTAGGCCGCCCGTGTCCGTGGATGCAGCCCCGGCTGACAGGAGCGCTCCGCCCGGCTCCAGTGAGTACTCGGCACTGCGGGTGTCCTCTGCTTGTGTTGGCTGTGTGCCTGGCAGGGGGGAGCGCGGCCCCTCGCCCACCCCGCGCCATTTAGGAGCTGACTCCGAGCTTCCCAAGCCTTCCAGGACGGAAAGGCCAGGTTGTCGTGAGAGGACTTTGCCGAGCTCGGGTGTGTTCTGGGATAAAGCCGGCGGAGCTGGGAATGGCAGCGCGGGCTCCTTCGCTGCGCCCCAGCCGTTTTTATCCCTCAACACCGAGTTAGTCAGCAATATCAGTGGATTGCCCCCGAGATCCACCTCCAAAGCAGCTGATCAGGCAAACGTGTCGGCGTTTAGGGCGGTGCTGAGGAGCCAGGACCAGCCTTGTGCTGCTCCAAAGGCTCAGGGTGACCCGCGGGCAGCTCTGAGCAGGGACCCTGTCCCTGCCCCCGGCCCCGGCGAGGCGCAGTCCCCGCTGCTGGTCTCGGAAGATAACCAGACCCTGTGGTATGAGTATGGCTGTGTATGAAGGAAAGTTGTGTTTTTAAATGTGTGTCTAACATGCCATAGAGGTGTTCTCCATGTCCGCTGGATGATGGGGAAAACTTCCCTGGGATGAAGGAATCGTTCCCGGTTTATCCACGGGGTGGTTGTTCCCTGCGGACGGCGCCTGCGGACTGTGGCATGTTTGAATGTGGAATTGTAACCCCACCAAAGTCTGCATGAAACATTAATTGCACTGTGTATATTTTGCATGCCTTTATAATACAAGCTCTATTTTTATTTGTCACACATTGCAAATATTTTGGTGTTTTCCTGTTGGTTACCGCTGCATGTTAAACGGAGCGCATGCCCGGAACGGCGCAGGGAACAGCATTCCTGGGACAAGGACAGCACTGGCAGCGCTGCTCCGCCTCTCAGGGCTATCAGTAGCACACTCATCATCTACTTGGAGGGAGAAAACCCTTTTTTTTCCCCCCATTTCTTTGAAAAATGAGGTACTAATGGAAAAAAGCATTTGGAGAGATCTCAGTGTCTTCTTACTCTTCTCATTTATGCATGAGAAACAAGTGCCCAATACTCCAAATAATTCAGTGCCTCTAGTTTGCACAGTAAATATTAATTACTGTCCATACTGAGTAATAAACACACAGACCATTCATAATCCTTAACAGAAATGATAATTCCTACAAAGAGGTGATAAATAGTCACATAATACACAGCACTTGTCATGAAAAAGTGACCTTTTCCACCTTTTCCCTTTGGTCTGCTTTGTCTTTCCAGTCGTGGGTACAACTGTGGTGAAGTGTTTGGTTTTATCAAGGGTCAAATAACAGGCTCCTTGTGGTGTGTAGGAATAAAAAACTGTCTTGAGTATGGTGGAAATTCATTTTTTCTTGGCAATGGAAGTACCACTGATACAATAGAAAACAAGTGGTGAACAAAGTAACAGAAAATGGTAAACACAGATAAATTAAAGAGAAAATAAGAGAGTTGCTTGCAAGGTTATGGGAGGATATGAACACTTCAGCAAATAACTCCTTAAATTCCAGATAAGCAGCAAAAGAGAAATGTTGAAAATGAGCACTTCTTTGCAAGTGGACTTTGGTTATGCCAGTTGTGGGAGCTAAAATACATTACAAAAAAATCGAGTGACATAGCTATAGCTAGAGGGAAAATAATTAAAATTGAAAATATCTATTGCAAACAACAAGTGCCACATTCTATTTTGTAGAATTGCATTTATTCTGCCAGCAATTTTGTGGCAGTCACAGAAGCACTGTGTGGGCTGAACTTTTAATTCCTTAGTAGTTAATTAGGGAGGAGCAGTGAATCCATAGTTCTGGGGGAAGAGCAGCAGATATCCCACGTGGAAGTCTGGGTTACATGGGATGGGAATCCTGTGTTTCAGGAAGAAGAGGAGGATATGGAATATCTGTGGAGAATAAAATGGCTGTTTCAGGATGTGACACACTCCTTCCCCAGCTCTGCACCACTCGTTGTCACTGGGCTGATAAATCTCTCACTTCTCCCAGTGCTGGGCACAGCGAGCGGTCAGTTCTTGCTGTGTTCCCTCTGGAACTATCTCAGCAGCAAAAGCATGAGAAATCTGATCTGTAATCTTCATTTCACACACATTTACTCTCAGAGCAGGGCCAGTGTTCTGGTCTTGGGTCAGGCCATTTGACTGCAGTTCTTCTGCAGTTGTGTTGGGATTAGGCTGGAGGTGAAGAGCGCTATCCCAAGCAATGTCACACAAGGCATTTTGCCAGTTATTTAAGGAGTTACAATCCTAGCTCTGAGAGCACTTAATACAAACTCATCCTGTGCTGCCAGGGTCTGGCTTTTCTTCCCTGTGCCCTGCAGAGACACTGGTCAGAACAAGGTGTGGAGCTGCTTTAGATCAGCTCTCGCTGCAGAAGTCTTGGGTGTGCTGTTGCCTCCTCCTCTTGCTTAGGTCACACCTTACACAGTCACACCTACAAAAACTTCCAGTGTTGTCCCCAGCTTCCCTCTGAAACCCCAAGGGCTTTGGAATATCCAGGCATGAGTGTCCTGGAGCCACTGGTGTCTCCAGTCTGCTGGAGTTGGATACTAACCTTGTCCAGCTCAAGCCACTCTGCACTGGTTTATAAATGTGCAATGAATTGCATTTCAGTTCTGAGAGAATAACTTGTTTTTCTCCACTGAGTTCAGCAGCAGCAGAAGTGTTCTGCAAGAGAGTGTCTAATGGCTCTGGATAATGACTTACCAACATTTGTTACATATGAAAGAAAGAAAGAAAATGTCATGGACAGAAAGACCTTTTTTTTAACTCCCCTTCTTGGTCTTTAACAAGAAGTTCATGGATTCTGTGTTCAAATCGTGGAAGGTTCCATGGGATCCTTTCCATTCCCAATCCCTGCTGCTCCTCAGCCATGTGCATGGCAGGCTGTGAAACACGTGGAGCCCTTGCTCATTCCTCGGTTCCTGCTGCCTTGGGCAGTGCTAAGTGAGGACTTTGCATGATACCAATAAACACTAAATAACACGTGGCTGCTGCCCAGAAAGCTTTTGCTGTTCAGGCTCAGCCAATTGCTCACAGTTGAGGTTTGCCTGGCTCAGGGTTTGCTTGATGCTTTGCTTTCAGTGACTGCTGAATTCAGATGCTGCATTTTGCATGTTCAAGCTGTTGCATGCAAAGACAATTTTGTGGTTTGTGGAACTGAATGTGAATGTTTCTGTCGGTGTGCAGCAGGTCAAAATACCACATAGGAAGTTCTCTGCTAGGGTCAGTCAGCTGTGATTGCACCTCATTTTTACTTTTTCTTTCCAATCATGCAGAAACATAAGGGTTGGTGTAGCTAAAGGTGACATATCAAGGACTGTGGCTTTAGCAGTAACACCTGGCTGTTGTAAATGCTGAGATGAATGTCAGTGAGTGTAGCTGAGCAGGCACTTGCAGTGAGTTTCTTCTGTCCCTCTCCTCTGTCCTTTCCTCTTAAAAACAACCAGAAAGTGTTTATGTATCCTTTTGCTCTCCTAATGAGTAGAATGTGTTTTAATAATGCATGAGGGGTTTTTTTCATGTCCTGATAAACACAATGAATAACCTGAAATGCTTTTCTCTGCAGATGTGGAAGCTATCCCAGAAAGCAGAAATTCAAAAAGCAGGTCTAGGGAGCAACAAAGCTCCTAATTCTATTACCCACTACCTGAGCTGTGGGCCAAGTGGTGAGTTTCCTGCCCAACCTGTAAATGAGATGAATTTCATTTACAACAAACTAACAGCATTCCATCTCAGCCCCAGAGCACATTGCATTAACCAGATGTAAATCCTGCTTGCTTACCTGGCTTCTCTCGCGCTCGCTCCTTAGGCCGGGGCCGGTGGCTCTCCAGAGCCTCTTCCAGAGGCAGGGAACCTCATCCTGCTTAGCCTTTTGCCTGTAAAAATGACTTTTTTATTTTTATTTTTCCAATCTCCTAAAGAAGAAAGTTCAAAGAAATCTCGTTAAGAAACAATACTGATGTCAGTTCTTAGACAGGGACAGGTAAATTTGAAATAACAGTTGAACAAAACTCAGAGTATTCAGTACCCCACAGAATCTGCCTTTTTTTATAAAGCTTGGTTTTGGTGTTCTGTCCTCTTCTCAACTTCCCTGAGCCCCTTTGGTGCATGCTGTTAGTGCTGTTAGTGACTGAACTCTGTGTGTTGTGCCTCTACACCTGAAGCTTTTTCTTACATTCTTTTCTCTTTCTGCCTTTCGACTGAACACAGAGAGAAAAGTGTCCTTCAGTATCTCAGTGTGAAGCCTTTATATCTGAAGTAACAAGACAGCGGCTGTAGGAATCATTAATAAAAATTAAGGGAATTTTTTACATTCTTCGTGACTAGAGCAGGCAAGAAATAAAAACCTACCTACCTTCCTTCCTTCCTTGAATCAAGGAGCTCTACTGGAGTCTGCTGCCGAAAATGTGTAGATGGTCTTAGGAATTATTGCACATTGCACTGTTAAGATCTACTGAATAAAGGACAGTTCTCATCTCCCTAAGGACCAAGGATTTTAAGGTCTCAAGAATTACTCCAGGGAAAAAAAAAACAAAACAAAACAAAACTTCTTTCATCTTCTGTTTTTGAAATTAGCCACTGATTTGCTTAAGCTTCTGCTAATAATTAGCCAAAAACCCCCAAAACTAGCAGTTTCTATTTCCGTCTGTAAATCTAAAGGAAATGCTGTAGAGTTTTGTTCAAATGGACTGTATATACAGATACAAAAACCTCACAGCTACTGGCACTTCACTGCCTTATTTGGTTAGCATAATCTGCATGAAATTGCTCTTAAGAAAGTTTATGCTGATTTTTGTTGCGTACTGCAAGAGAAAAATTTGTTTACATCCATGGAAAAGCTTGGTAACTAACAGAAGTGGGAGTCATGGGATAATGGTGTCATAGAGACATTGTTTGTCCTTTGTGTTTTTCACATTCCCGAGTTACTCTGCATATGTATGTTCAGATGTTTCTGACAGGAAACTGTCGGGTATGGTTTTTCTATAACTTTTATTTTAATATAAGGCTGTTTTCCACAAATGCCATTTCCAGGATAAGACTGTCTTACAATGTTTGTGTATTGACTAATTTTTTTTTTAATTTTTTTTTTTTTTTTTTCTCTTTGTCTTTTGTCATGAGCTAATTGTGGCTTAGGAGGTTTCTTGATGGCAAAAAGAAATGTAAATAATATCATATGCATTTTACAATCAGTTCCCTTTAAGGTTATCTTTTACTAGACACATTTTGTTCATTATTGATTTATATTAAAGTCAACAAATGTTATTGGTACGTTTGGTGGTTGCATATATTTGTCTGGAAAGATTTGCAGTGAGCTCAGAGGAAGTGGACAGGAACTGAGACCCAAAACGAGTGATTTTATTTTATTAAAGCCAGTAAGCACATTCCTGTAAAGGAATTAATGTAAAGGGTTGAGTTCCCTGTGTCACCTCTGTCCATCAGGCAGGTGCACAATGTCACCTGCAGCTTCCTCAGCAAAGGTGAGCCCTGCTGCTGAAGGCAGTTCCACAGATTGGAAAGCTTGAAAAAGCTTTCCCAAAAGGGGAAAATGGAGGTGTGCGCAATAAGCTTTAGAAAAGGACATTTTCTGTTTCTTTTCTTTGAAATGAGTTTCTTCTGAATGTTTCTTCATGATAAAATGGGCTAAAAGATCTATACCGAGGGCGTGGTGGGTATGACAGACAATTCAAATGCCATAAAAATGAGGCAAATCTCTCTTAACTCTGAATGACAGCGTGTTCAAGCTCATTTCAGGGCCTGTGCCTGGGTTCTCCTCTCTCTCTGCTGACAGAGGACTGCAGCTCAAAGCCCCCATCCAGAACCGTTTGTTACTGTTCCAGTGCGTGGCTTGAACCGAGAGATTGGAAGTGCAGTGCCAAATGCTGCCCGGACCCGAGCTGGTGGCTGTGTCTGGGGACGCTGTGGTGGCTCTGGCACACACTCCTGTGTGTGGAGCGCTGCTGGGCACACATTACTGCCCTCCCCACAGCTGCCTGTGTCCTTTCCATCACCCAGGGATCCCTTCCCCTGCCCCTGACCAGCTCAGCCCTTCTCAAGCTGCCCGCTTGGCTTTGCACAGAGGTTCCGTGCGGCGCTCGAGTGGCTCTCTGTGCTCTGCTGCTTCCCCCTCTTCTTCCTTTCTCAGTCTTCCCAGTCTGTGCATTAAAGGGAAGGAAAAAAGCAAATTGAACTTGGGAGCTGCTCAGTTCCAGGGATGCACATGGCAGCTGTGGCCCCATGGACACAGGAGCACACAAACCCCCTTTGTACCCCAGGAATCCCAAACCCAGCACTGCCAGTTCCAGGTTACAAAGGAGGTTCTCATGCCATACAATGGCTGTGTTCTATTTACTTTTCTGATAGTCTCTGAGGATTTAGTAACATTCCCAACACTTATGATTATTATTATTATTATTATTATTATTTCTAAATTTTGTCCAGGACATGATGCAGCCTAACAAAGGAGCTCATGTGTGATTTTTAGGGGTAGCTGATGATGTATATGTAAATAATGCTTTGATATTAATAAAACTGCCTTAAAGGAATGTACCGAGGTGTGAAACAGAACTTAAAAAGCTCTTATTTAAAACTGTAATTTCCTTTACATATTAATTTTTTTAATGTTTGCCATTGTATACATTTATTAATGATGTTATTAAAATGCCAAACCAAATAATTTTTATTCTTATTTTGTGTGTGTATATTTATACACACTTTTTCTGGAAACTGATGTTACTGGAAGGGTATTGGTGTCGTGGTGATGTGTGCAGTGATTATTTCTTCTGGAAGGAAACTGATAAAACTGTAGCAGAATTTTTCTGGACCACGTGTAGTTTGTTCTGTGTGATTTGTGTAGAGCTGGGTAGCTTTTAATTGTAAACTATTTTGATACTATTATTAAAAAAAAAAAAAGAAGACACTGATTTCATAAGTAAATACAAAAAGAAATCATTCTAGATTTGCCAAATGTAGTATTTGAAGCCTGGTAGTTATTTTTGCTGAGACGAGTCTCAGGATCCCTTCTGAGGATAAAATTAGTCACACTTCAGGCAGTGCAGATTCCAGGATTGTGCACGTCCTTCAAACAATTTGTCACATTTAAAACATTCCAGATGTAAAAACTTTGGCAAGTCAAATGTAATACTCCTTTTTTGAAGTGATAAGGGATTTTGGGGTACCACAAAGAAAGAACTTTAAGGAGGAGTGAGAGTGAATGGCAGAGAGAGAGAGCAAGATAAACATGACTTTTAAAGACACATCCTAATGTATCAGTGTGGAGATAACTTAGTGGTGCATTTGTCAATCCAGAGCTCATTGATCAACCCAGATTTATCTTCCTAAATACCAGATGTTCCCTTCAGTCTGTAAAATCACGTGTACCTGGACATCTCTCTAGTGACTCTCCCTACAGCTGCAGCATTTTTTGGTGGCTTCCTTCCCTCTGGACATGACTCCCAGGATTGATGGGGTTGGTTTGTGTCTGTCAGAGGTGGAGAACTGAAACTGCTGGATGGTGAAGGGTTCTGTCACTAAGAGCTCTGAGAACAGGTGCCAGATCCTTCCAGATGAAGGAAACGGTGCTGAGGCTGTGAGTGAAGCAACTTGCCTTACTGTAGATGATTTTTCATACTCAGTTAATAGTAATTGTTCATTCACCCAAGATCACAAATCCTTTTACGTGTTTTTAATTCATGCTCCTGTAGTTTTGGTGTCAGTTCATCCCAGCCTGTGCTGATTGCTCTTGCCCTGAGGCATTGTTTGCAGTGACATTTTCCTTGAGCTGCATCCAAAAGCCTTTACACCCCCATCACCTTCAGATTCCATCCCTCACTCACTGCTCCCCTGGCTTTGGGTTTTGGGGGGTGCTCCTTGCCGTGGGATGTTTACTGGACTTGAGGGAGTTTCTGCTGCTTCTGTCTTCAGCACACCGTGACTGAAAAATGACAATCAAATGCATTTCCTGTAGTGTAGGCGAGTTGTTTTTTTAGGTGAAAAGAATAAAAAGAAAGCAATGTGTAGCAGGGCATAGATGGATGCAGGGACAGTCATTCTGTCCTGGGGGTATTGACAGGTGTTCTACAACTTGGAATTTGTTCTTTCCTAGTGATGTCAAGTTTAAACCTTCAAGGCCAGTCCAATGCCTGGGAAATTCTAGTTTTATCCATTTACTGATAAAGACTATAAGAGTATTTAAATAATGCTTTTTCTACTTACTAGCTACTTAGAGGTAGATTGCAAAATGTCTTTTTAAGAACATTGTTAAACTTCTAATAACTGAAAGGCAATATTTTTTCTCACCAGATTATACGGTACAAACTTACATAATTGAAACAAATTAAAAAGGAGTAAGCCATTTTTTTTTAAGTTTTATTTGTAATGAGATTTTCCACCACTTTTGCTCTACAAAATCTACGAATAGCAGTAGAAAAATGAACTTCCTCTACTTAACGTCTTCATCAAAGTGTACAATGATGGGATCGTGGCCTGTCGACTTCACAAACTTCAGGAAGTCGTCGGGGCTTAAGCCCATGGTTGCAGAATTTGTCATTGGATGAAAATACACCATTTCGTGGCCCCCTTGGAGCAAGGCAGCATCCAGCACCAGCCTCACATCTCCCTGGTCACAGAAGAGGGCGAGCGGCGTGGCACAGCCCTGGCCCACTTTCAGCTTTTCCAGCATGGCATTTTCATCAGCAAACCTTAGGTTTCCACTTCCAACACCCAGTTTTTTAGCCAGATCGTTTAAATTGACCTGCCTGTTGTGCAGGACTGTCACCAGCCAGAACCCTTTCTTCTTTTTGTCTTTAAGAAACAGATTTTTACTGTGACCTCCTTTCATGTGTTGGACGTGCGGCATCATTTCTTCGACAGTGAACACCTGGAAAACAGCACCGGTGTCAGACTCTATATCCCATTAGACTCCCAGTCGTGTGCTGGCAGGTATCTTTTGTTAAATATTTAGAGAATACTGAATGTTTTACTCGGCCTAAAAGCTGTACCCTTTTATGAAGGGATTTTAACAGAACACGAATAAAATTGCTCCGGCACACTTTGAGAATCATTTGTGTCTCGTGTGTGCAGCAATGGCTCTCTGGCTTTAAAGGCAGCGCTGGGAGCGCTCCCATTTGCGACTCCACACACTTGGAATGAGGTGGCGTGTAACTGGGAGCGAGTAAAAGTTTGGGAAGCATCTCGGATGCCGCCGAATTCAGGGAAAAGAAGTGAGCGAGCCGCTCCTCAGGCCACGGGGGGAAAGGGGGTAGATCTGGAGGCAGAGCCAAACATTGTGCCAGGCCCTGCGAGAACTTCCACGTTGATACTTCCGCTGAAACCCCGCGCTCAGGACCTCATCCCGCCCTGCTCCCGCTGGCACTGAGGGCTTCACCCGCGGCTTTTCAGGAGGCTGCCGTACCTGCGGGTGCTCGGCGGTGACGGTGGCGATGCCCAGCTCCCGCAGCCGCCGCTGCAGCGCCTCC